GGATTAAGCATTGTCCACTGTCTGCTCACCTCAGGTGCATCATACTATACCATGATCCCTCTTTGCCAATTTTTTATTCCTCCACAACCACTTAATATTTTGACTTGAAAATTTGCATATATGTATATCAGAGCATAATAAAGCAGTTTATCTTTTCAAAATAATTTTTACGATTTTTTATGAGCTGTAGAGGGATGCGATCCCTCTTTGCCAATTTTGTCACATTCTGTCACAGAAATTTGGCTCTGGCAAGACGCAGCACAAGCTCTGGGAATCTGTCACTTTTGTCACTCTCAAAACAATCTTTACTCAATTTTAATTTACAACCACCATTAAATCTCTCAAGAAAAAATAATATAAGTACTTGTGTATAAATTATATACATGTGTAGTAATATCAACTTATTAACTTGATTAGAAAAATTAAAACTGCTAATTATAAGGGTTGCAACCAGTGGAAATAGCAGTATTCACAGGTTTTTAATTCCTCTATCAAATTTTTTGTAGAAAAAAAGAGATATTGTGTTTTAAATAGTAAAAATACACTCCCATGAATTTTTGTAGAGTATTAGGTGTTGTGTTTTGTGTGTAAATGCAAATTGGCAAAGAGGGATTGTTGGCAAAGAGGGATCATGGTATAGTAAAGCGAGACCACATTTCGAATCGTACAACTTCTGACGCGTCGGTGGCGTGAGAACGACGGCTTCTTTGGACGCTGACAAAAACGTTTTCTCGAACGCACGCATTGTGACTGTCACTGTGTCAATGTGAGTAATTTGAGTTTAGACTCGGCCGCCTGTATCACCTTCAAACTTCTTCAAAGCCCAAAGCAAAGCAAGAAAAGATATATATAGATATATATATATACATCACAGCAAGTTCAAAGCAAACTTCCCGTATCAAGTAGACCATCGTCAACGACTTCGTCTCTCGCGTTTTCTCTTCAGACTTCTCGCCAGCTTACTTTAGGGACTGTAAAACGGTAGGCCATCTATGTATATTCTTCCTTGGTGGAAACGCTGTGCTGATCTTCTCTAAGACATCGGTCGAAGTCACCGATCCGAGCTCTGCAATTTCATACCACTATGAAAATGAAGGCGAACAGTACGCTGTCGGTTTTCAGTTGATCACTCTCGGCAGAAGGTGCCTTTGTACCGTGTCGAAGCACACCAGAGACGATCTATGTTGCCTTGTAATAATATCATTTCAATCTATTCGGCGACCAAATACGGTACGTTATTTGAGTCAAAGGTACTATACTATATACAGTCTTCTTATCATATCATACGTTCATAAAGAGGAGAGAAACGCTAACTATATTACAGATAACTCGCCTGAAATCCAGATTAGGCATTGGCTTCCAGCGACTCGATGAGAGGAATAACAACGTTCTCCCTCCGAAGGGTTTCGTCGTTGCGTGGTGGAGCAACCTTCCGCAGAAGAGGTACCTGGCGTGTCCCTTGAATACCGAGACCTTTGTCCCCAAAATAGCGGCCGCTTTCGAAGTTCCAGCAATCACTGGCTCGAACCCAGTTTCCAACTCCATCCAAATACAGTTGGATCTGGCCGTCGACATCAGGGCCCCAGGATGGTACGCATCTCATGGCTTCGAGGAATTGTTTCTCAAGGTCTGCATGAAGGATAACGACCCAGGCCTGAGCTTCCTCCAAGCCAAAGCCAAACTCGTTCATCGCAATGGTTAGTATGTTGTGTCGGTCGTCTCCAGTCGCCTGCTCTTTGTTGTATGAAGCCATGTCCTGGAAACTGATATTACAATTTGTTTAGAACCGGAGCATACTAATACATACATTACCGATGATGATCATGTCCGTTGAGAGTCTGACTAGCTCTTTAACATCCGGGTGGTGAAGGACGTCGTCGGGTATATCGCATCCTAGTTCAAATATCGCAAATGAAGGTCTGGTTCCAATGTTCTCGCGACGAGTCTCAAAATAGGACGGAACGGGGCGGCGCGTGTCGTTATCGCGGTCTCTCGCTTGCTCGACGACAGAGTCAAGATACGCAACGAAAGTCTCGATCATATGTCGTTGGGCTGTTGGTGTTGCGGTCTTAATTGCTAACTCCCAGAATCTAATACACCGAGATCAGCAAGTCCAACATACAGTGCGAGTCGAAAGTACTGACTGTCTTCCAACCTCGCCCAGAAGGATCTCACCCTCTGGACGAGGCTTGTGTGGGTTATTAAGTGCATCGATGACGGTGTCCACCATCTCGCGAACCACAGGCGCTGGCTCTACGTCGGTGTACTCGTCGATGACAAAGAATAGGTTCATCAAGTCGCAACCAGTTCGAAGATGTTCTGCGCAAATAGTGTCAGCATCGGTCGTATCTCTAAGTCATCAAGCAATTCTATTTACCTCTTGACACGTGTGGATACGCAAGAGCAGCAAGACGTGCTATTTTGTAACATTTGTAAGTGGCACAGATAACTAATTGCAAGTAATGTACTCACGGAAGTCGCACTTGTCAAAGGCATACTGGGATCTCTCGGAGAATGCCTTGAAGCTGCGGAACCAGGCGCTCGACTCTGCCTTAACCTCGTCATAGTATGGGTTAATGGCTCGTTTCCATGGCCAATTAGCCACCATGTCGGGAAGATAAAGCATTTTAGTTGTGTTCGCCATAGTAGAGGATCTGTACTCTGCTCTGTGTCATGTAAGAGTGAGGTTTTATACCGCAGCCATTTAATGCTAACTGCTACTTAACTCCTGATAGAACTGCTTTGGGGAGCGCCATACGATTTCAGGTTCGCATACGGTGGTGATTATTAAGTGACCGTCGCCGTGTTCGAACAACGCAAGAATATTCTATCAATACAAAATGCCCATTGGTATTTCCGAAGCCCCAACCATCACACAAATGCACTCGGATTTCACCCAGAATTAGAATGAAACGTCGGATCGTTGCTGCATAGATACATCTCGTTCATCCGCGTATGGCGCGTATGTGAACCTGTATTGCTCTCTATCAGCAATAGGCACATCATGCTCTCAAAGATGACTGCCACAAAGTTACAATATGCTCGTATTTTCGTGGATTTTTCCACTAGCACAGGATCGCCACCTTTCGCGCTCATGCATGTCCCTATCTGCTTCAATCCACGGTGGTCGGATCGCATTATTGGTACCACCACGATGATGATACAATCGCAAATTGGCGTTTAGCAAAATATTCAGGCAAACTTTATCTTCGTTTCGTTTGCGGCGCTAACGCCATTCCGAAGTCCCAATTCGTTTATACTTACCCGATCCAAAGAGTCGACATTCAGTTTCACTTCGGGATATCGTCTTGCCTAGACTGCTCTGAAAGTCAGGTCCCAAAATTTCTTTTCTACGCTAGGAGCACGTTATGGGAAAATACCCAAACCGGCCTGATAGGCGATACTATATAAGGAAGAGGAAAAAAGAGATCAATATGGTCACGTGGACACTAATTTCAAAACGACTTGAAGGGCCAAGCTGTTTCAATATGATTGGGACGACCCTGCTGTACAAAGCGCCCACTCCAATGCCGAGTACTAGCGTATACTTATTGGGGTACTTCTTGTCGCAGGCAACGGTTATTTGCGAACCTTTGCCTTCCACGCCTCAAAAATATCACGCCGCGCAAGTTTTAGTTGTGGCATGGCACAAAAGTAGAGTATGTGAGTCGATCTGATCGCTTTATTAAGTCAACGCATAGTCTCAGAACCTCTAACACTCACAACGTTCGGCGTTCAGCGAAGATCTTGGGTTTACGTTGGTACTGACTGCATTCCCTCCTAGGCAGTACAATCTCCGAAAATAAAAACCCCACGCAGTGTCTCGCGTTCTTGATTCAATGATTGAGGTGCGTTTCATTTTTACATCTATCCATCGGATCGCCTTCATTGATTGTTGATGAGTGATTTTATCTAAGAATAAACCAACTGTGACGAATTAGCTGTCTATACTGTTGGATGACTCGTGATAAAGAGCAATCGAGCACGACCGACAGACTTTGGTTCGCCTAGAAAGAACAGGTCTCTTATCGAGTGCTCTCACGTAGAAGGAAGGTTAAGGTCTGCATTCGACCCTCGATATTCTCTGAGTTCGCTGTTGTTCGGAAGTAAATTTATTCCAGGGCCGACTCGCCTTGACACTTTTGGGTACAAAGATCGCAAAGACCAATTGTTCAACCGACGCTTCTTCCGCGTTGGGGAGAGCCATTGCACGGGCGCTGTTTGGGTGGTAAGGCATCGCAGCCGCACAAGACTGCGGCTCGTTATTGCATTTCTTATCGACCGACATAGCGACAATCAAGAAAGGCCGCGAGACACCGAGATGTAACGTTATCACTCCTGATAACAGTGATGCTGATGGTTTTGACCGTTCTCGGTGATATACTGGCGGGAAGACTGTACGGCGAAGAGAGGCGAGCGAGGAAGATGACAAAGCTGAAGATTACGCATTGTTTCTCACTTCCTCTCCCTCTTTGAACCCGATCAATACGGACACGAGTAATCAGGGAAAGGAGAGCTGATATCCCACATTACCTTCTGGGCCGAGAGCACCAGATTATGAAGCATCAAATTACTTTGAGGGTGCCCCACAACTACCGATACGTTCGGCACTCAATATGCGAGGATCATGGAGAATACGTCTGTGACGCTCTCCTTGGACTGCATATATGCAATTTATTTACGTTGGCTTTCAGCGCTCAAGATGGTTGGGGAATGGAAGGAGAGCTCATTTAGTCACCGGCAGGGATTCATAGGATTTCGCGAATTCTCCAGCGTTATAAAAGATATATACAGGGAAGAAGGATCCCCCAGCTGCTGATTACCTTGAGCTCTGCAAACATGCTAGGCGCTCTCGACCTCGCCGTTGTAACATCTATATTAGTTTTTGGCTATGCAGCTGTTTGGAAGACACGGTCCGCGTCTCAACGATTCCCACCTAGTCCTCCTGCGGACCCATTTCTTGGGCATGCCAGAAGTTTAATCCTTAATATGCCATGGCAGACATATGCGAAATGGAAAGAAACTTACGGTTCGTCCAGAAAGCTTGTAATCCAATCTTCCAAATCTAACCCCTAAGCAGGTGACGTCGTATATTTGCATGCTCTCGGTCGCTCCATTATCATCATCGACTCGGTTAAAGCGGCACGTGAACTCTTGGAGAAGAAGAGCTCAACTTTCTCCGACAGACCAGCTTTCCCGGTTTTCTCCTCGTAAGTACCGGCTCTGCCTTGAGTTTCTATTACTTAATTGCCTATCACAAGGATGGGTTGGGCGTTATTCCTCCCTTTTATTCGTTACGGGGCTCGCCTTCGAAAGCATCGAAAAGTAATGCATCACTACTTTGGTCCTCAGGCCATCGCAAACTTTAGACCGATTCAAGAGAGGGAAATCAGCAAATTCCTTTATCGCCTGTCGACCAGTCCCGAAAATTTCATAAATCATATAAACAAGTGCGTAAGAGTACGCCCGAGACGTTGTTCCGATCATCCTGCTAATGCTCCCGTAGTTTTATTGCCGGAACTCTCGTCGCAATCACGTATGGGCATGAAGTAAAATCCGACCATGACCCATACATCGAACTTGTAGATCGGGCAACACACATGGCAACGAGTTCCGGTACTCTTGGGGCAACGGCTATTGACATCTTTCCTTTCTGTGAGTACAGAAGGTGGCTTTGGTATCACCTGTTCCTCGTTGACCTTTACCTATCAAATTTAGTGCTTTATTTGCCCGCATGGCTCCCTGGTATGGGACTGAAACGACTTATAATCAAAACTCGTGAGGTCATCGAACAGGTTATGAACATCCCATTAAAAGAACTGCAGTCAAAGAGGGTATGCCCGGCATTTATTTCTTCGACTTATAAGAGATTCACACGAGCCGTTTGGTAGGTAGCCGGGTCGGCCCCTAAATGCATAGTCTCGGATCTCCTGGATGAATACGACGAAAAGGATGTTGTTGACCGTGAACACGAAGAGGATATCATGAACATCGGAACGACGGTTTATAATGGTACGCGAGATAAATAACGATCTTTGTCTGCATGCCTCATTCTTTTATGTCCTGCTACTACCAGCTGGGTCAGATACGGTAAGTTTCCCCTTCGTTATTTGACTTGAATCACATTGCTTATGAATCCGGACTACTTTGATAAGACCAAAACGTCTCTCACGGCATTCTTCCTGATGATGACACTTCACCCTGAAGTTGCTAAAAAGGCTCAGGAGGAAATTGACTTGGTTGTTGGAGCAGGCCGTCTGCCATCGTTTGAAGATCGTCCAAGCCTGCCTTATGTAGACTGCGTACTCAAAGAACTATACCGGTACGTATGCAGGCCCGATCGCTAAATAGTGATGTTGACGTGGCATATTCTCAAAGAATCCATCCTCCCACACCTCTGGGTGTGCCACATGCCTCAACGCAAGTTGAAGAATATCGTGGGTGGATGATCCCGAGTGGAACGGTCGCCCTTCAAAATATATGGTACGTGTCTTATATGGATGCTTCTGTATGCCATCGCTGAGCATTTTCTAGGCATATGATGAGAAACGAGGAAGTGTTCCCAGAGCCGGAGAAATTCAACCCTGAGCGTTACCTGGATACTGAAAAGCAAGCGCTCATTGAAGAGAACGATCCCAGCGAAGTCATCTTTGGCTTTGGCAGGAGGTGAGTATATCATAAATCGATCGTATTGACAATTCTAATAGTGTATTTATTTAAGGGTATGCCCTGGAAAACACTTCGCTGATGCGAATCTATGGCTTTCAATCGTCAACATCCTTGCAGTGTTCGACATTGAGATGTGTAAGGATCCTGTAACAGGGAAAGTTGAACCTCCAGTCGTCGAGATGGAAGAATTACTCACTCTGTATGCGCTAATTTCCTAACTTATCCTCTCAAACAGCTGAAAGAAGTATCTTGTATAGGTCTCTCAAGCCATTTAAGTGCCAGATTACTCCACGAAAAGGTCGGCGCGTTGATGCTTCCTTGTTGAAGCTGCAATGATTTATTATGCAGTGGTTGGTAAGTAGATCCGAGCGCTTCTGGCTATGACATTTATTAACAACGTGTGCGCGGGTAGAGTTCCACGACATCTTCACAAGTTCCTGTTTCTACGTGCCCGATAGTCAATAGTAGTATCATATACATTTCACTGTTGTATCAATTTCAACTTTCCCCAGTTAATAATGTCGGGCGCTTCATTGTGTTTCGGTATATGACAATTAATATTATGCAATGTAAAGACGAAAACAGTTCAAATCATTCAACAAGTCCTGCGCGCCTTAAAGTTCCATTTGTTCGTTCCGTTAGGATTCTTGACTCCCCAGCCCTCGATTGTGTCGTCCCAACTGCGCCACATCCAACCTATGTTCTTCGCTTTGAAGAAATCTTCGCAGTGGCTATCAAGCAGATCCCAATACGCTTCCTCGGAAGGCACGGATGCGACGACATCTGGACTATTAGGAGCAAATTCATCTTCGTTGCTCGGCCATCCGGTCTTGTCATGTCAGAACAAGGTCAATTCAAACGGATGGTGAGACGGTGCAAAGAAAGAAGCCTACCTGTGTAACGAGTAAAGGCTTCCCCTGAGCAATACTAGCATAATAATTCATATCATTCAAGAAATCCGCCCAAGAAATATTGCTTCCACCGGTTGTCGCGTCGAATGCGAAGTACGGGAAGTTATTGATCATGAAAAAGTCAACAGCGTCTACCATCTCAGTAATGTTTCCCGAGCTCTGCCATCCAAATGCGAGTTCGGAAGTTGAAACTGGGATATCCGACAAGCCAGCGGAGGCGAAGTCCGTCTTCATTTGGCGGATGAATTTTGCTAGATTGTCCGCAGAGCCGAAATCGTTGTCGAATAAAGGCTTAAATAACGTTAGCGGATATAATGCTACAGACTATTTGATTATACCTCATCACCTAAGGCAAGTGAACGAGCATATGATCATTACAGCACGATTCGCTTGCTGCAAAAATATGCACGTACCAAGTGCCACGGCGAGGACAGGTTCCGGGTTCTCTATAACCGCCTAGTGTACAAAACATAAGAACGGAATACTTGGTGACACAAGTCAATCCCGGTCTTACTTTCGTAACAGCATTTATCTTTGGTATGGCTGTATCAGCCAGAGTTTGATTGCCTATAAGTAGTGTCCAAGCTAGCGGGATGATGTTTAGCCCAACAAAACCAGCGGCCTGGATAACCTCTAATGGTAGGGAATGGAATGATCGGCATTCAGTGGAACAACAGCAATTGCTTCCGTGGAATTACCTCCGTAATAAGACGCGTCCGCTCCGTCACCACAATAGTCAAATGTAATAACATTTCGTGCACCCTTAGCTCGCATTTGACCAAAGTCTTGAACTAGTTCAAACCAAGATGGGCAATTCTAGTAGCAAAATATTTCACATAAGCAGTGCACATCGACAGGTAATTAGAAGTGCTTACGTCTAGAGCATAAACAAAACCCTCGAAAGCGTACATGCTCGTGATCTTTTGCAAGCGGGACTTAGTCACTGTACTCTTCTCTGATCCATTATCTCGAGACTGAGGTGCTGCCACAGCGCAGCAGAGCAACACAGCGAAAAGAGTGGCACTGAGAGGTACAGTGCGCATTATAGCAGACTTTCTGAGAGCTATTACCGAGAACAAAAGGCCAGCACAGCAAGCGCGTTATAAATTGACTGTAGCTAGGAGAGGCTGACACGATCCTCATTTCCCTCAATTAAGGCATACTTCTCTCCGAGCAAGACTCGCCTTCCTGACATTCAATAAGAAACGACAGCACATGATACGGTGGTCGCGTGACTTCCAACGAGAAAAAAGATGCCTAGATTTGAGTCTCGAAGCGCACAATCAGCGAGCACACAGACCGATGGCGGAGGTAATAGGAGCGCCAGCGCACAGGAGAGATTATACGAAGAATTAAGAAGGCAGCCGATACACGGAAAGAGGGGCTCGTCATGTTACGGCCTCCTGGTTTTTCGGCAGCACATGCTTTGGGTAGGCTATACTGCATGCTCATGCAAGCAGAAATCCGTTTATGCAGCTATCCCCTGGTATAGTGCATTGATGTGTTGTAAGTCTTAAATACATCCGGGTAAGCCATGCTTTACCCTAAGATACATAGAGTACACCTTACCACACATAGTTCCTACCCAGATCCGTCCAGTACAGGATCCTCGGGCTTCTTCTTCGCGAGTAGGTACCCTTCCTAACCGCGCTGACATCTCCCAGATTGACAGAACAGGTGTCTTTGACTGCCATACTTTGCATCTTGAATGAACGTAACAGAAGAACCAGTGCATCCTGGCCGAATCAGGCCGATAGAAGAAGCCATTTTAGGACTCCACATGATTTATTATTACCATACGAATGGTCACGTGTGCTTGCAGCTTGGACTCTAAGAGGGTGTTCAGATACATGATCTTGTGTGATCAAACAAGATCATTCCTTCCAAAAGGAGAAGGAGATGATCTTGTGTGATCATGATCTACATTTGAGATGGAGGTGGGTGTTTGGCCACCTCTATCTACATTCTTGATCTTGTTCTGTGATTATAATGTGCCTGCTAAAAACAAGATACAGCTCTGAGCTGTATCTCATTTTGAGATCATGCACTCTAAAGATGAGACTGCATATACCACATCAACAGTACCTCTTGTCTCACCCTCACTTGTCCACCCTAGTCATCCTCTACACATCTCTGAAGACATCTATTTGCTCTCTACACAACATACTAGTGATTAGCAAGTATTCTCATACCAGAAGACACTGCTTCCTGGACAGCTAATTAAGAGGCCCTTCTGATTCAGACACTAAAGAAGGCAAAGAATGATAGCCTCTAGGCTGAGAGTGGTTGGAAGCCTGTCATCTGGTCTTTAGCTGTTAAGGCCCTTACTAGTACAGAGAGTAAGAGTAGTAGGGTTAGGAAGGAGGTAAAGCATGTTAGGTCTCAGTTTCACAGAGTATGTCTTTACAAGTTGAGCTTATTAACATATGATTTCTCATACAATCTTTACAGCTTAAAAGTGTATACTAGGAGGTGAAGAAGATTAGAGAGTCATTTTGTTATAGTTCTCTACTCTTGTACTTTCAGTTCCAAGGGTTCTGCACCCTTCTGTACCAGAACTTAAGACTTCTGTCCCTCAGGGACACTGTCTATAGACTATATACATACTGACTCTTACTACTACCCTTCCTTACTTCATCATTCCATTCCTTTGACCACCCCTTCATTCCTTGTTCATTCTATAGTCTCTTACCCTTTGTCTATCTCTTCATTCTTTGTACCTTTATCTTTGACCTTCCTTTCTTTCATTTTTTATAGCTTATCATTCTTAGTAGTTCATACTCCCTGAGTACTTTGTATAGTTTAGTATATATAGGTGTATAAGATTAGACTAGTCCTGTAGTCTTGATCTTGTCTACTCTAGGTAGTCCTGTACTCTTAGACTTACTCTATATACTCTACTCTTGTCTTACTCTCTCTCTCTACCTGTTCTGTAAGTTCTGACTATGTTTTAGTACTTACATTCTATATTTCTGTTGTATAGGATAGTTGTAGCCTGGGTCCCCTTACTGAGCCTTTGGGTCCCCTCTATACTGTTACTGACATCAGATTAAGACTACTCATTACTACCCTACAACTCTCCTACATTTTGAGCATTAGTACTTACTATTGTGTTAATCTCTTTTCTTTGTTCCAACCCTTTTACATTTTTAAACTTTAAACTTTCTAAACCCTTTTAAACTTTTGCCACCCTTCTTCTATTCATTACCCCTTTTAGTTTAGTATTGATTCCTTTGTAGTGTAAACATGGACCCTCCTATACTGACTGCCACCCCTACTGTTCTACCAGATTAGTAGTTATAAGCAGAACTAGCTTAATATGTGTAGACCTCTATTTAAGAGGCTTTTACTAACTATATACTCCTAGCCCCTTTAGAACCTGTTTTAGTCATTCTGGAAGTTGTAACCTGTTCTAGAAAGAAAGTGCATGTAGTCTACCCTTCAGACTTTAATAGGTAGCACTTTAAGGACTTCTAGTACTAAGTCAAACTATACATGGCTGCTACTTTGACTAATCTATTCTCAGATCTTAATTGTGTCCTATTTGTCCTCTCCTTCATAAAGGAAGGCAACATGGCTACCTAGGCCTAGAACTGGATCAAAGGCTATCAGATTAGAAGTCTGATCTAACTTCAGAACAATAAGTTGTATTTGGAATTCATAGGGCAGCTCTGTGCTTCCTTTATTAATCTGAATAAAAAGTATAATGTGTAAAACAAGCTTGTGTCTCTGTAACAGGGCAAACATTCTGCTGATACCTTCTTTCAGAAGTTTGATATCCTAGCCTGGAAGGCAGAATTTGTACTTAGGTTCAATAATGTCCTTATTAGAATGCTTGAAAAAGCTCTTCACTCAGAACTAGTTAATAAGATTCTTAGAATAATACTAGAACTGGTCACTTACACTGAGTAGAAGATGTGTACCATTTCCTTCAACCAAGCTATAGCTCAGATGTATCAAGTCTGTACAGAATGCCTGTACATGTGTCTGGCTCTAACAGTTTCAAGCTCTCAGATTAATCTGCCTGTAATTTACAATCAATCTGTTCTGATAGACATTAGAGAAGTCTGAAAGTAAAGAGTATACTTTGTCTGTAGAAAGTCAGAGTACTAAATTAAGGACTGCTCACAGAAGTGACAGTACATCTGTCAGGTTATTAGAGTAATAATGAGTGACAAACAGGATTTGTAGTAAGAAGCCTTTTCTACAAATCCAGAAGTTACCTTAGAACTCCTAGACTCTAACTATATACTCTAGGATTTTGTAGAGGCCTAACAGTAAATACAGTACTGAAGGGTTATAACTTGGATTTTTTAATAGCTACTTTTGATTCAATAGACACTGTAGGATTAGAAGTAAATAAAGTAAGAAAAACAGAAAAAGTAGAAAAAGTAGAAAAAGTAGAAAAAATAAATTAACAAAATTATTTATTAGAAAGAAAAAAGTCAAAAACAAAAGTAGATAGTTCTTCTATTTCTTCTGATTCTTTTGATTCTTCTCTTTACACTTCATCCAAGTCTAAATCTGTACAATCTAACCTACTACTTTTATATTCTAAGATCTTAGAATGTTTAAAACACTACCTAGCCCTGTTCACTACTCAGTAGTTTGTCTGTAGTATCAAACAGGGATAGCCTCAGCTAGGTTCACAGCTGAGAACATGAGTCTGTCCTTGTTGAAAGAGGGAGGTTAATAAGGAAATGTTAGTATATATACTTACTCTCTCAGACAACAAGGTTGTACAAGCTGTATGTTCCCTTCAGAACAAGTAGTAGTTCATCTAAGAACATTCTGAGTACTAGCTCCAGGTCCCTATCCTCTTGGCTCCCTTCTTAGGATCCCTCCAGATCTAAACAATAACTCTAGTAGATAGTAAATACACTAGTTTGTGTATTAATAAGGCCTTTGTGTAGGAACACTACCTCCCTACTTGACACATTCTACTTCTGATCCTAGTATACAATACAGACAGAACTCTAAACTGGAATGGTCAGATTACTGAGTTTGTCTAACTACAGATGACCATTTAGGATTATAAGAAAAGTATTAAGTTTAGAGTTACTAACCTTAGAAAGACAGATGTCTTTATTAGATTTGAATAGCTTAAGGCTTACAACCCTACTATTGACTGGTTAGAGTAAACACTTGTGTTCAATCAGTGTTCTGAGTCTTACAGCTACCTTACACTACTGTTCTAAGTAGATACAAACACTTCTAATATTACTAACAGTTCTAATAAAGGTGACTAGTTGTTCTTCTTTAACTAGGATAGATATGTGGATACATATTCTAGTCAAGACAGAACAGAGTCAATCTAAAGGATGTCTGAGACAGAACCAGTCTAGAACCTCTTCAGAACAACTCTACTCTAGAACACACATAGACCCAGCCTGTCAGATTTTGTCTAAGAGTTCCCTAAAGTCTTTAGTAAAGAGGAATTTGACTAGCTTCCTAAACACTGTCTCTAGGACTATACAATTGAATTAACTAAGGGTTTCCAACCTAAGGATTGTAAGGTTTACCTACTCAACAGAGACAAGTAGGAGGTGCTCAACAAGTTCCTTTAGGAAAATCTTTGGAACAGTCAGATCCAACCCTTAAAGTCTTTTATAGTCTCTCCTTTCTTCTTTGTTAAAAAGAAAGATAGGAAGCTCTGCTTAGTCTAGGATTATTATTGTCTTAATAAGAGTACTGTCAAAAACAAGTACTTACTCCCTCTAATTCAGGAGCTTATTAATAAGACACATACATCTAGAGTTTTTACTAAGTTGAACATTTGATAAGGATACAATAATATTTGAATCTAAGACAGAGATGAGTAGAAGACTGTGTTCTAAACTAATTGTAGATTGTACAAACTAACTGTAATGTTCTTCAGACTAACTAACTTGTCTACAATGTTCTAGTCATTCATGAATCACATCCTTACAGATCTGATTAACTTAGAGCATGTTAGTGTGTATCTGGACAATATTCTGATCTTTACTCAGACAGTTGAGTACTACTACTGACTGATCCAAGCAGTTCTACAACAGCTCTAAGATAATAAACTGTTCCTCTAAGAAGTAAAGTACTCTTTTGTACAGGAGTCAGTAGATTATCTAAGCTTTGTAATCAGTAGAGGAGAGGTCTGTATGGATCTAGCAAAGGTAACTACAGTTTAGAACTGGCTACAACCTTAGAACCTAAAACAGGTCCAAGTGTTCCTTAGGTTTGTAAACTACTACTAATACTTTATTTAAGGCTTTAGTACTATTGTCTAGCCCCTTCACAATCTTACTAGTAAAGATGTTCCTTGGTAATAGGATGATTAGTAGTAGTCTGTGTTTGAGTCCTTAAAGTAGGCTATTACTAACAAGCCTGTATTAGCAGTTCTGACAGTTATAGACAAGTTCTGAGTTGAAGCCAACTCTTCTGACTTTACAAATAGAGTAGTACTGTCCCAGTTCATTGACAGAAAGTAGTGTCTGATAGTGTTCCAATCAGAATCCCTCTCTGTAACAGAACAGAACTACTCTATCTATAACAAGGAACTTCTTACAATTGTCTGTTCTTTAGAGAAGTAGTGTTAATATCTCCTTAGTACTGTACAGAAGTTTAAGATTTAGAGTGATCACCTTAATCTTTAGTACTTCTGAGTGCCTCAGAAGCTTAACCACTGTTAAGCCTACTAGATGTTAGAACTGTAGGACTATAACTTTGTACTAACCTACAAACTCAGAACACAAATGACAAAAGCTGATTTACTCTCAAGACAAGTAAGTCATACAAGAGGAGAGAATGATAACAAAAATCTTGTTCTCCTAAACAATTCCTGTTTTGTGTCCAAGACAATTTAAGAGATCCAACTTGAATCCAAGAATGTTGACTTTGTTACCTACATACAGTAAGCTCTAAAACACATACAGGACTAGGTTGTAGTAAAGTAGCTAGAAAAGCAGGCTAGAGATTAGAAGGAGGATGAGGACAGACAGGTTTACTAGGAAGGCTGACTGTATGTTCTGAAGGATTGAAAGCTGTAGGAGGACATTGTCTGAGCTCATTATAACAATCTGACTGTAGAACATTTAAGCTAACACAAAACACAGGAACTTATTACTCAGAACTACTAGTGGTCAGGAATACAGAGGGAAATCCTAAAGTATGTGACTGGTTATAATATGTGCTAACAGACTAAGGCCTACCAGACAAGGGTTCAGACTCTCTTACATTCATATTAGATCCTAGATCACTCTTAGGAAGAAGTCTTAGTAGACCTGATTAGTAAGCTACCTGAGTCTTAGAGTTACAATACTATCTGTGTGATTGTTGACTGATTCTCCAAACAAGTCTACACAGTTCTGACCCAAACAGAACTCACTTCTGAAGGCATGACACACATCTATCAGGATCATGTTTTCTAGTTACACAGACTCTCTTAGAAGCTCATTCACAATTACAGACTGTAATTTAAGTCAAAATTCATGTAGGACTTATATACACTTCTTAGAATTCAAGAGAACCCTTCTACTACATATTACCTACAGACTAACAGTCAAACTGAGTAAGTCAATCAGGAGATCAAGCTCTACCTCTGAATGTTTATTAATTATTAGTAATCAGATTGGTCTGAATAGTTAGCTCTGACAGAATTTGTATATAATAACTAGTAACACTCTACAATAGGACAGTTCCTGTTCTTTCTCAATCATGAGAGACATCTGTACTAGGGGACAGTTCTGAACCAGAACAGTAGTTCCAAATCTGTAACAGACTTTGTAGAACAAATACACAGAACCAGGGAGGACACATGAGCTCTTTTGGAAAAGGTAGTACAGGTTATAAAGTAGAACTATAATTAGAAGAGGTCTGTAGCTGAGGATTACCAGCCTGGTGACAAAGTTATGCTAGAAGCTACTAACCTGACTACAGATCACTTAATAAAGAAGTTAGACAACAAGTGCTTCAGACCCTTTACTATTAAAAAGAAGGTTAGTACCTCTGTTTACAAACTCTAACTTCTAGCAACATGGAAGCACATACACCCAGTGTTTAACAAGGTTCTACTGTTTTAGTACTATAATCCAGGTTTTCCTTTATAACAAAGACCCCTACTACCTCTACCAGAACTCATTAGTTCTGAACCAGAATACAAAGTAGAATATATAGTAGATACTAAGCTAGTGTATAGAAAGCTCAAGTTCCTTATCTACTAGAAGGGATACTCAGTTGAGGAACATACTTGGGAACCTGCTAAGAATCTCACCTATACTGTTAAGACAATCTAAGACTTTTATCAACTTCATCCAGGTGCTCTGTGTCAACTCTGTCTTACAGATTTCCAAACCCTACTGTTCTGACCTATGTCTAAGCTACTAACTAAGCTCAATGTTCACTAATCAGGATGATTGGTTTTAGAGGGAGGGTGATGTTACAGTTCTCTACTCTTATACTTTCAGTTCTAAGGGTTCTACACCCTTCTATATCAGAACTTAAGACTTCTGTCCCTCAGGAGTACTATCTATAGACTATATGTGTACTGACTCTTACTACTACCCTTCCTTACTTCATCATTCCATTCCTTTAACCACCCTTTCATTCCTTGTTCATTCTATAGTCTCTTACCCTTTGTCTATCCCTTCATTCTTTGTACCTTTATCTTTGACCTTCCTTTCTTTCATTCTTCATAGCTTATCATTCTTAGTAGTTCATACTCTCTGAGTACTTTGTATAGTTTAGTATATATAGGTGTACAAGATCAGACTGGTCCTGTAGTCTTAATCTTGTCTACTCTAGATAGTCCTATACTCTTAGACTCACTCTATATACTCTACTCTTGTCTCACACTCTCTCTCTGCCTGTTCTACAAGTTCTGACTATGTTCTAGTACTTATGTTCTGTATTTCTGTTGTGTAGGATAGTTGTAGCCTAGGTCCCCTCACTGAGCCTTCAGGTCCCCTCTACACTGTTACTAACACATTTGGCTTTGGTTGAGACCTAGTCTAGCATTTAGCAACTGCTCTAGCAAATGTATGAGAGATGTATTTTGTAGTATACTAACTTCTCAGTCTTATCTTCTTCCTTCTTTACTAATATTTGTTCCTAGTCACACAAAAATGCTAAGCTATAGTGTAAGAAGAGCTTTCCTCTTTATAAGGAAATGGTAGAGCTTGTAGAAGGGATTGTAGCTGATAGAAGGGGTGCATTCCAGCCTAGCCAGAATATACAGACTTTAGGCACACTTAGTCTACAGACTGCCAGCTCTAGTTCTCTTACAAGTAACAAGACTTCTTCTGTCTCAGCTGTACTAAAGAGTTTGGAAGATATCTCTGACTTTGAGTCAGACACTAGTAGAGACAACACTCAGTACACTAAGACTCTCCCTACAGTGAGTCCCTTTCACACTTAGCCTACACATTACAGACTATATTAACATACTTTCTAGACTTCCAGTACTACTTCTAAGTATACAGTATCTTTAGAGCTAGAGGTTACAGTTATAAAGAAGAGGCCTCAAACTTTAGGAGCTAATACAATAATAAGCCTTAGCAAGTCAATTGAAACAGTAGTAGACACAGTCACTTTTGCTTCTTCTACAAGTAATACAACAGTCTAGACACCTACCAAAACAACTTCCTAGATTCTAGAGACATCTCTATAATGTAAGACAGTTACTATTTGAGCAATTAAGGTGGATAAGGAATTGTCTGACAATAATATAGTAGATGTAGCAGAAATGATATGTGAGCACACTAGTATTACTAATACTTATCTTACTTTGCAAAATAAGGATCACTGTACTACTTATTTGTAGAAATCCTTTGCTAAGTACAAAGGTATGTAAATTAGTTTTATTTTGTAATATCTTGACTACTTTCCCTCTGAATTCAATATGTTGATCTGTTCATAAAGATGCAGATTACAGAAAACCTTTAATATGTTCTCTAGACTAGTAGTATTCATTAACAAGATTAACTAGGAAACATACTCTTTACTCTATAGTCCTTAGTTCTAGGAATACTAAACAAGAAAATCTGGTTACTTAGTATGTAAAGTGAGAATTAATTGTATCCTAGAAAGGGATTCACAAACAGTACTAGTCTATCTGTGTGTTTTCCTACAAACAGCTACACAATCACAACTGTATTCCTATACAGCCCAGAAAACCACTAGTACTCTTTGTAATGTATTAGAGTAGAGTACTGGCAACCTCTTTGTGACTTGTAAAAACCACCCAAACTGTTGTTCAAAGCCTTGTCCAACTGTGTTTTCTCATAATGTCCACATCTTAACAGGTATAAGCTTGTTATTCAATACATAATACTTAATACAATAGTAGTATACATTAGTTTGAAGAGACCACACATGAAACACTCAATAGATAACTGTTACACCTCTCTAAGATGCCTCTTGTATTACACTATTACAATCCTCTAGTCAACTATATAAGTAAGAACACAATATGACACTACCTTCTCCTTCTACTATAGTACATCCTCATTCACATTTGTTTCTACCCTTTCATTCCTGTCACTCACAACATTGTTCTTACTCACATGTTACATTCCTTCACTCTTCTCCCCTCCTTTAGTGTTCTTGCTTATACCCTTTCCACATGTCCTCTACAATTTGATCACATAGGTTCTCTACTACAGCTCATTGTATAGCTCCTTCTGTAGCTTATTGTATGCTAGTCTTGAACCCTATATCCTTGTCACTTTCTTCCTACTCATACACCTCTGTAGGATTATAAATATATATAATGTTGTGGACTATACATAGGGCTTGTACTAGAGCTGCTTGAGTTTTGATAGAGTACTCTGGTACAGTAGCAAAAATTCAAAACTGTACTTTGAAAACACTAAATATTCTTTCTACAACATTCCTGACTGTAGTATAATACAGATTAAACAGTTCCTTTACATCTAAGGGTCTATAAATTTAAATTTAAATGTATTGAAGGTTTCATGAGTTAGATAAATACATACCTATTCTTTGTAGTAGCCTATTCTCTCAAATGATAATGTACTCCTCTGTATGGCACAAGTACTAATGTACTGACTGGAAAGCTAACATTACTAAGATAATACTTGCTATCTAGAACTAGGAAGCCTTGTTGCCTAGCACTGTCCAAGACTGTACTATCAGATACACTTCCCTCCCATCCACTAAGAACATACAGAAACTTTATGTCAAATGATACAACAGCCAGAACATTCTGAGATATAAATCCCTTCCTGTTCCTTTATCTAGACTGTTGATTAGAAAGAACAGAAGCATATATGTGGGTTCTATCAAGGGCTCTAAGACAGTCCTTGAAATAAGGGTACCATTTTGGGTTTGTTTGTATTTCCACAGGAGTAGGAGCTCCCTCTCTAGAAAGCTTAATAAATGTATAGTATATGCTGGGTGAATTCAACATATTAATGATCCTGTAGAAACACCTATAATAAAAAGTATGAATAAGTGTAAATAGACTGACTTAAATTACTTACTTGGAAACTGTATCTGTACTTCTTTAAAACCTTTCCTGAACCCTTCTGTTTGTGTTCCTAGTAGCAGCCATGTACAGAAAGATAGCCAACTGCTCATCAGTTTTCATATATCTTGTTTCACAAAGTCTACCCTTCTTCTCTAATATATCCAGAAGCTTGTTAAAAACATGCTTCCTCATTCCAAATGCTCTCTGGAAGCATGCTGAGTAACCATTTCAAAGTTCTACTACCTATTCAGTACCAGAAAGTTTGGACTCATTAAGAGGCTCCTTCACATAATAATGAGCAAGAGATTGTACAGCTTTAGTAGTAGAAAGACAGTATAGTAGAGCAACAGTATTAACCAAATCCTGGTGGTCAGAGAAAGTACTCATAGTAGTGGACAACAGTACAGGAGGGATGTCTTAGAAAATGTACAGAAATTCAATTAAAATATTCATTTTATTTGGAATTTACACCAGAGCATACATTAAGATCATATGACTGTTTGGTACACCCTATGATCTTGTGAAATCATACAGTTGACCTGTTCAGCACACTCCATCATTTTTCAATATTATAATCTGTACACTTTGCAGATCATGATTCAGGGAAATCATGTCTCTGCACAATCTTGTATCTGAACACCCTCTAACTATAATACAATTAGGGACTGGTGCAGATGGGTCTATCTGCAAAACCATACTACAGATAAGCATTTCCACAGATAACTTATCTGCAGATGAAATTCCTACAGATACCCTAGTTTCTGTGTATCTGTAAAAAAAAGCTGGAAATTTGTAGGACTAACTTAGACAAGTAGAAATCAACTGTTGTTTCTTATGCAATCACTGGCACTAGTGATACATCACAACTGTGACTAATGTCACACTTAGGTAATTAAAACAACGTGAATTTTTTTATCAGCTAGGCTAAGCACTCAACCACAGATACTGTGGGAAAATTCATCCACAGATAGCTTATCTGCAGATAGCTGGTACAGATAATGGTGGCGGATGCCGCACCAGTCCCTAGATACAATCCATGATGAAGTGAATTGTGTCCCTTCAGCCAACTCCAAACATCCCATCCCTTTCTCCTTATTTGTTCAGCACCATTTTAAAATCTAAAAATCAAAGTGTGCTACTTACAAATGCCCCTTATATCCAAATTACTGTAATATTCTTTCAGAGACACTTCTCATATTGCTGTACACGATTGTCATCACAGACCACCACGATCAGGAGCATCTGTGCCTAGAGATTATGGTAAGTCACTTCGTTTCCGGACAGTCAATTTTCCCGTTTTCTGTCTTTGTATAGAGCAGGCGAAATCCCCAACCTCTACCGCATTAGTACATATTGCTCAAGATGATTGCGCTCATCACGAGCGCCCCCATCAACGGGATTGACAGGCTCATGGGATTGAATAGCAACTATCCCCAGTCAACATAGAGCCTAGACCAGAGCCCAACTGAGCATGAGGACTCGGTGGAAGTTCGGTCGCCTCTTTCTTCTCCCACTGTGGAAATACTTAGAATGCTGATGTGTTCGCAAACTTACTGTGGGCATTAACATTCTAGCGTATCAATCACTCAAGCCTATGTAGAACTGCCGTGTGTTGTCATGGCCTGGCCTGACACTTATAATTGGCATTCGAGTAACAGAGCTAATTCAATTGAACTCATCAATCAAACTCTGGCTTAATAATAACCGTGAATGCCGCTGAACTTTTATAACCGCGATCGGGCCAAGACGCAGTGTCGTTCACTATTGCCCTCATGTTCCAATGAGCCTCAACGCTGCATTGGCAACCACCTTCAAGTCTATCACAGGTCAGCCAGTATTATGCTCTTTTTGTGTTAGCGATGTTGAAATATTTCGATTCGCTTGTGGTCAGTCTCATGTACTACTTTTCACTTCTATTATACCAGTGAGTCGGGTCAGTAGCTCGCCACAGTCTCGCTTAGCTCATGTCAATAGTCTCACACTTGGATGAAGAGGTTAGTCTGATCAGCTTCGTATGTTCATTTCGTCTGATATGTCAGTCGACTAGGTCGAATATATTTGGGTGAGTGGTATGAGGAGTGGACAGTTATCGCAGGTTTGACTCTTTGCAGATCAAACGGTGGACAGCTGGGAAAGTCGCCTATTTACTTGTAGGTCTTCCCCATTTTCAGCAACAAAAAGGCTTCTAGTCAAATTGAAGGACAGACGAAATACCTCGGTTCCGTCTTCTTGATGTATGTCTCAAACTTCACGGACAAACGCCCTGTTGACAATGACACTGCAGCTTGGCCTCCGTTGGCACAGCACACATCGGATGGCATAGGGCAGACAATTTCCCCCCCCTAGGTAGACTGCGTCTCTACCTTACTGCTGCTTTTCTCATGTTCTACCTAGGGGATGGTGTCACATTATTCTTTATTACTACTTGTGAGTGAAACCACTGACCGCGTAGGCTCTGATAAATTAAAGATCGGTTCTAGGTTTATCCGGACGCCTGTATACTGGACTAGGAACCATGATAATATTGCTGGCCGAAAGTGAATTTCTCGCTGCAACTAATTAATGTCGAAGCGATGGTTTATCACTTATGTTAGTTATTCTCATGATGCGAGTTTACGCAATGTTTGGAGGGCCAAGGAAAATGCTACTGTCATTCGTTGCGCTGACACTACTTCTCTTCGGATGCAACATCCTACAACTGGCATTCAATCTCGGTACGAAATCCCATTAGTTATTATGCACTGGAATCTAAAACCGTTTCATTATAATGGCACTAAAGAGTCCTTGGATAAGGGTGAAATACGACCTTTCACTCATGATATCGGTGTGCACAATACCGGATGCCTAAGTGCGCCTTTTATGTCTGGCATCTCATGGGCAGCTGTTTCTTCCGTCGAGCTACTTCTCTTTGTTCTTGTTCTCTGGAAGACTATACAAGTGAAGGGGTTAAAGTTTCCGACGTGGATTTCCAGGTCAACGAATGGGCCACGAACGACGCAGGACATTGCCACATTAATGGCAAGGGACTCCGTTGTATATTTCGCCGTGTAGGTTCTTCGTGTTCTTCCAGTGGCAGTTTCTGATAGCCAGCACTTAGGATATTTTCTGTTGCTCTTCTTGGCTCCGTCTTGACGTTTCTCAGCGAACGTTCCGATAGCAGAGGTTTCTTGTGAGTCGATGTCGCACCTACTCATTCCGTGACTGTTGATTTCTTCTGGGTATTTTAGGCTAGTATTTTTCCGTGACTCGAACGCATACCAAACAATTGTGATAACAATCATGACAATTCTCGCTCCGAAAATGCTTATCAACATTCGTGCGGAATACTACGGTCCAGTCGGGATAATTGCAACTGAGATTTCTTGGGACCAAATTTCAGAACATCCTCGTCCACAGATTACCAACGATGTTGAGAAATTAACGCGCTATTAATGATCTTATGTAGCTGATTGACCCGTAGCTGGCACTACCGTAACTGAACGTTTTGCTTCAATACTTTTGTTACTGTACTTGATACCTCCTATTGTTATTTTCTTAATGAATTTCTCGTTTTTTGGAAGTTAAATAGTAATGTGGGTCTCTATTTAGTAATACCCTGTTCATGTGATTTGGATAGTGTTGTATACCGAGTCAAACAAAGGGTGCCAGAATTTTTTGTGGTAAAGGTAGTATCAGTTACTTACAGTAATGTTTTCTCATGAACGATCTGATACTTCAATCCAATCGTTGAAGTTCCTACACCTACTAATCTTTTGACCATCACCTTTTTCCCTTATGATAGGCCTGGAACTTCTTTGGTACTAATTCTATAGTTGCCGTGGTCCGGTTCTGGACCGGTCCACCCCTCCTTTACCTGGACTGTAACCCGGACCTCTTCATACGGTCCGGGTAAAGGAGGGACCTGGACCCGAACCTTTGTGGACCGCTGTTGGACCGGACCTGAGGTCCAGTCCAGGTCCGGTCCAGGTATGACCTGGACCAGTAGAACTTATACTTACAGTCGACTCAAGAGTGTGTCCCTAATGTGAGTAGAGGAGTTCAAGCATCCTACAACAAATAGTGTCTATTCTTTTTTTTGTAATATGTAGCTAGTGCTTTATACTAGACTATTTACAAAGAGAATAATAATGAGTTTTAAGAATTTCAATTGCTTCAAAAGTTTCTGGAAGAAGTCAGTTACACTACTTTGTATCTACAAGCCCTGCACCTGAAAACACACACTCACAAGGTACAGAGGAGCCTTGTATAGCAAGGTAATCCTGAGCTATGTGAGCAAGAATTGGATAACAAATACTATTCTCCTAAAAAAAGAGTGTTAGTACAAGGAATGAATAATTGTAGTTCAACCCAGTCCAAATATGTAAATTGTAATGCTACAGTACATTTTCCCACAGCTTCATAGCTAATTCTACTGTATTTTAATACTTATTTCTACTACTTTATGTATGTATCAAGTAAGGAGTGAACACCCTGAATTATATGTCAACTCAACTGGGTGTTCTTGTATTAAAATAGAAACATGGGTCCTGGGTCCAGTCCTCAGTCCTTAAGGTCCAGTCTGGTCCAGGAAAATACAGCATTTCCTGGACCCGGAACTGAACCTGTTCTGGACCTGATTGGACCGGACCTATTGTGACCCGGACCTCAGGTTCGGTCCTAGGGTCGACCCGGGTCCATTAGGTCCAGGACTGAACATCAGCAACTATAACTAATTCGGACACATATCTTACAATTATAATAACAAGCACAAGTTGCACAACAAGTCTTGTATCCAAGATACTCATCAACCTTTTCCGCTTCTCTTGAGATGCCCAGGCTGTGGAACGCCCTGATGCGTAGACTGCAAGTCATATATTGTAGCTGCACATATAGAGGTAACCATAACACGACACGCTTGGATTATCACATTCCTTAAATTACGTTACAAACAAGTAACACAAGGTCTGTTGCATCAAGTAACTCAGTTGTAATACCTTTAAATAGTAGCAGAGCCACTAGAATTACTTGGTGTAACACAAGATTTACATTCTGTCACTTAAACATGGGCCTATCTGAGCCAGTAATGCTCAATTTAGTGTTATCTCTATGCGTGCGGTTACAGTAAGCCTCATTGGAAGTCTGATTCATCCGTCTAACAGCAGCAGATAGTAAGTGCTGATGCTTTGCATTTGACATTTCATATTATGCACAGTATTTTAAGTTTTTGTGGGACTATCAGAGTCTGGTGAAGGGGTTAATAATGTTACGGACGGGAAAGCTAAATTAATTGATTGCCATGTTGAGAGACGTGTATGTAATCGCATGAAAGCGAGACAAAGAAAGGCGAAAAGAGCAAGGACGGGCCACTCGGCCCGGTTCGGCCGCCAACGGGCGACTCGTGACTCGTTACGACGCGACTGGAGTCACGCGTATCCTGGCCTACAAGCTCAAGTTGGACCTGACCAGTGACCACGTCGTACCGCCAGCCCAACAACAAATATCTCCGTCCTTTACATTCGTTAGCTTAGCACTCTTTTAAATCAAACTGCGCTCTTTACAAACGCTCTTTATTCTGAATTGCCGTAACATCTTTGCGGAAACAATCTGCTCATAGCTTTGCCACCAAAATGTCACCAAGACGCTCTCGAAACTCTAGTGGACGAAGCAGACTTGCTAATCCTGGGCTTAACAAAAAACAATACCAGAGGAATACTGCCTTCCCTCGACATGGCTGTGGTGCTATGTTTCTTGTCGACGGTGAATCAGTCGACAACAGTCCTCGAGAAGATTCTGCCACCCACTCGCTGTCCCCTCTTGACCTCAATTTTGCCCCCTTCAAGATTGAATACACAGAAGACTCTGTTCTCGAACGCAATACCGCCCTGTCTACTCCGGAACCTTTTTCTAACGAGGTTATGGACGAAGAAACAATGGAAGACGTATCTGGCATGCCGACGCGTGCGCAATGGAAAACTCTCATGGACAGCTATCTCGAGAGTCTGCATCCTTCTAAACGTCATAAGTCCCTCATCTCTCAGGAGGTATATGATATGATTTTTCGTACACTCAGGAATCCTGACGCCACTCGACTGGGGACTCCTCAATTTCGTTTTTGGGCTCGTAAGATGTTTCAATTAGTTGAGGCTCCAAATGATCCGGATGTGCTTGTTGTAACAAACGGAGGTCGTCCAGTTGCTATAAAAGAGCACATTTACGATATTCTTTGCATGTGTCATTACGAATGCGGTCACGGAGGACGTGATAAGACGTGCAAAGTTCTTCGCGAGTACTACACCTGGGTTCCCAAGGAGCTTATCTCGAACTTTGTCAAGGTATGCCCTACATGTGAGCCTAGGAGAGCTATGGCGCTTAAGGCGAAGGATCGCAAGTTCACAAGCGATATCGGACTAACGGGCCAAGAGGAATCGTCAACAAGCTCATCGCGCTTCTCTGTTGAACGTCTTGAGGACTTTGGGCAACTGCCTTCACCTTACCCAGAGCAAACCCATCAACTCGGGCTCCCTCCTTTAAATATGAACATGCCTTCCAGCTCAACCCTCCATCCGAGTCACTTCGATGTTCTTGCCAGAGGCTGTGGACCTGAAATATCACTCGCACCAAGTGACATTGCGACTGCACACCTTTCTCCCGGCTCTCTTCCTTCTCCTCCTTGGCCTGGAAGTATCGTACTACCTCCCCTGATGGCAGGTAAACAGGGCGCCGAGGCTCAGCCCATCGACGCGGATTCCCATGTGAGCAGGAACGTGGTCCTTCCGCCTCTGATGCAATATCTCTCCCAGAATCGCGCAGGTGGAAATGGCCGTCATAACGAGCCAGTCAAGCATCAAGCTCAGGCGGCTCATATTCCTATTGATCCAGCTCTACTCGTCTCACAGGAAAATTCAAGTGCTCTCTATGGCAGGAATGCCCTGCAGTTAGAGCTCCATCCGCCGAGCCCGCTAAACGCGACACACCAGGATACACAGCTGCGACTGGACTCTTCTTTCTCGCGCTTGTCAAGTAGCGAAGCACGACTGGTGATGGCGTTTGGCGGGTTTCCGAGCATATCCTGTCTTCCGGTTGTTGAAGGCAGCGATGCTGAAGATGACAACAGTGCACTCCTCTCTGCATCTACTGGCTCGTTTAGCCTTCCGACACCATCAACGAGCGGGCAGATATCGCCGGTTGGACCTAACTCTATTCTTTTGCCTCATCCCTTTGAGGCTGGGTCTCAGTACGAAGCCAGATTTGGCGGAATAGCATACATACACGCCCAAGATTCGGCCATTGGCTTGGACACCAACAACGAGCGTAACTCAGTCGGGAAACTGGCAATAGGAAGTGTGATGTCTGGCTCACCTCCGCTTTTCTCCCCGCTTCCTATGAAGGCAGAGAGTACAAACGCCATTTTGGAGCTTACCGCGGCGGTTTCTGGAAATGACGTTGGTGTATAAGTTACAAATTTTCATTATCAGGTGAAGTTTACTGCTATGTTCTTGTCCAATCTTCTGATGTCTAACCTAAGGAGCTTGCAGACTTTTTTACCGCTTGCTTTTCTCGCTAAACGTTACGATCGGACGTTCTCCCGGAAATCATTCAGACGAATCAGGTTTCCTTCAAACCCATGACGCGCTTTATTGCAATATACCTCGAAACTCAATCAGCTTTTGCCTCGTCTTTGATACACTCATGGATCATGTAGAAATGTCTCCCAAATCGCGTCGCAGTATACCCTTCCAAAAAGTCGGTCGCATGTAAAGTATTCAATCAGTTGTTCCGGTTATTGTAACGAATCATCAAATATCGTGTTCTCGTTTCCTGTGTATGATCTAGCAGTTGCCGTCAATACGATGTTGTATTTTGCTACTTCAATGTGTTGATTTTCACCATACAATCATTAAAACAGAATCCTCTTGTTTTCTGTGTACGATTAGTTGCCGTCAATACGATGTTGCATTTTCTCTCGCGTAATCGTTGCCGTTCAAAAGTTCATATTAACTAATATAACTCCGAAACATATCAACAACACAATGGGAAAGTTGAAACGAAAATAAGTGTGTGAGTCTGAGTCCGACGCCCTACAGCAAATAGCGTAAAATATATTCAACAAGGCCAATAAGTCTGGAGAAAAAAAAGTCGACGCGGAAGGGGTGCAGTATTAGGGTATGGCATCGGAGGAGGGAGGGGAGGGGAGAACCGCAAAGAAATCGAAACAGAATAACACTGAATGAAATGGAAAAAAAAGGTGAGGGGAAGGGTAAATACCGAACAAACTAAAGCTATTAAACATATGACGAGAAATTGAGCACGGAACACAGAAACAGAATCACAAGGAGAAAAGGGGGTGAAAAAAGGAGGAGAGGAAAAGAAAGAGAGGGAAAAAGGAAAAGAAAGCTGAGTGTAAGAATGTACATCATATACGAGAGTCGAGAGAACAATCGACAGGACAGGAATGATTCGCGATTGACGAGTCGGACGTAAGGTTGGGTTGGTTTTTCTTTTTTAAGATTTTGTGCTTGGGTGAATCGGATGACTATTAAGACAGTAGTGAGGGAGTGTATTGATATTCACACTTGCGAAGAAAGGAAAAGGACTGGAAGAGTTGAATCGTCAAGGGAGGACCCGTAAGAGTAAGGACAGCTTTCGCCCCAGTCGTTCATCGCGAGAAGTCAATCCGTCTATAAACAGAAAATATTCATCAGCATGGCACAATCAAGAATAACAAGCGCATATACGAAGAAAAAATTACTCACTCTCTCAACGTATCATACAAAAACTTATAACTCCTCAAATTTCCCTTCAACCGACGAATATCAATGCTAAACATATCCTGCAATCCATCAATACGTGTCAGCTCCACAGAGAATCGGACTTCGTCGCCCTGGTCTTCCGTACGATCACCGAAGATCGGCTCGTGCGACGCCGGAGACGGCATCATTGATAACTTCTCGCGAGAGACCGAGTGCGAGGCCTCCCGTGAGTCGGTTGTGTTGCCTCCTTGGCTCTCAAGAGGGGATAGAGTGGAGGACACTTGCGAAGATTGGCGTCGCATGAGAAGACCTTTGAACATCCCACTCGCGCCTGATGAGCCGAAGGATGATTGGGATGGCTGGGGAAGACCACGTTTGTCGATCTGTAATTAAAATATGGAATAAATCAACTTATGAACACAAAAAGTAAGGTCGGACAAAGACAAAAGACACGTACCCCGTTCGACGCAGCCGAACCAACCATAGTAACTGCAGTCACACTACCCACACCTGAACTTGCAGCGACCTTCTTCCTCTTCGAACGAATACAACGATACTTATACTCGCTCTCTTGTTGGACTTCTAAGCCCATATCTAAGAGCACCTTCGTCACATGGGCCATCACTTCCGGTGGCGAACCAGTCGTCACAGTCGTCTGATCGACTGCACCGTGGTGTACCCGAATCGCATTCTTATTGTAACCCGAACGGTTGGATTGCGAAGAACCCACCATATGCGAGAGTCGCCGAACTGTACGAGGAACGAGCGAGTTACTTTGTGGTGTAGCAGAGATGTATGTCTCTGGTCCGTGTGAAGATGCTGACCGACCGATCAAAGATGGTCCTAACTTCTTCGGCGGTCCAGGAGTTTGTGGTGTCTCCACTACCACCTCCGGAGCAGCCGGCTCCGAGATAGACGCAGCCATAGCATTGCGCTGGCCATCAGCAGTCGGCGTTGGTGTACTCTCTTCATAAGCCCTGTTAGGCGATGCAGTACGGCTCTTGCTTCTCTGTCTGAACCACTGCATAACCCTGGATGCCTTGCTCGTCGACGCTGGGATGGCAGATGCGTTGACGTGCGCGTCGATGCGTGACAATCGTGGAGTCTCTGGTGCATCCTCTTCTGCCTTTCTATTCAATTTTGGGACAGTCAACGATGGCACAGTCGGTTTCTCCTTTGTCCGACCATTCGTCTTCACAGACGACGCATCATCAGTGGGCACTGCTCGACTCTTTGCTCGCTGACTGATACGCTTGCTGAGGGGTTCGACCATAACGGTCAATGTGTTGCGACGAGACTTCTTGCCCTCGTCTTTCTTAATCGCATTAACACTCGAGTGCAACGATGACTTCGATCCCACGGATGATTCAGTGGTTGGTGCGGATACGTCCAGAGTAGAAGGCCGGTTGCTTGCAATAGATGGTTTACGCACGCTACCAACTGGTGTAACGCTTGCATCAGATGGCCGCCTTGCCTTGATGCCATTTGTACCGCTATCAGTCTCAGAGCCGCCTCCCCAGAGCTTACCGACGATCTTGTCGACTGACATTCCCCTGCGATGCCCGCTCCTCCTTGAGGAGCCAGAACCAGAATTGACAGATGCGGGAGCGCTGGACTCCTTCCTATCAAAGGATGACGGAGGAAATTCACCCCTTGGTGGACTTGTCGGCGTGATTGATACCTCGGGTGGAGGAACTTTGTAACTTTCTGATGTCGACACAGACTCTTGTTGCGAATTAGCCGCAATGACGGGAGGAGCACCAGGAGCACCTGCTGCAGGAGGCTGAGGCAGAGGCTTCGTCCCTTTGGACATTGACTCAATTCGCGAAATTGTTCCGGGAGTAAGTTGCGATTCATCTGGAACAATTGCCTCGCCGACTTCAACGAGTTGGCCTTCCTCTTCAACATCGGCATCCATCGCGGGTACTACTTCTGGCTCCGCGTGATGCGTACGTTCTCGAGACTTCTGTTTCGCCTTCATTGGAGGAGGCGGTCTAATTTCGTCTTGTGTATCACCGCCATATTCGAGCTGAATAGTGTGACGTTGTCTATCCTTCCTCCGCCTCTCTGGGCTAGTCTTAACAGGTTCAAGAGCAACTGGAGATTGTTTCTTCGAAGAGCGCCTTGTAGGCGTCGTCTCCTTCGGTGAGCGATGCTCTTCAACAATCTCAACACCCTCATCTTCTCCAACAGGGGGCGGTATGGGTGGTGGGCCGAAAGGATCATCGTCATAGCCAGACGAAGTTCCACCGACCGCAACAGAAGCGGGGTGACGTTTGACAGGCGGAAGAACCGGCGAAGTGAAGAGCGAGTCGTCGGGGTTCGACTCGTACAATTGATCTTCTTTCATCGCAGGTGGAAGTTGGTGCCGTGCACGCTGACCATTGGACATGCTCTGCGGCCCGTCGATTCGAGCACTCTGGCTGCGCTGCATCTTCTGCTGTTCTGCGGCGGCCGCAGCAGCTTGCTGCTTCATCTGGCGCTGGTAAGCCAAGCGTTTCATTTGATGTTGTTCCATAGCAAGGCGTTCCAGATCCTGCACACTACGAGTGAAGAGGTGTGCATATGGCTTCAGCCATGTATGCGCCATAACCCTGTTCAAATCTGCCCGATGCGCCGGATCCGGAACCAGCATGAGGGAGAGTAATTCCCGCGCTTCTGCGGAGACATAGTCTGGGAACGTAAGTGGCGTATTGACTATGTACCTATAGAGCAAATTGATATTATCGCCGTCCGGGTTCGCGGGATCATCGTCGAACGGAAGATAACCGGCCAGCATAGCGTAAAGTATAACACCGCAAGACCAAATATCGACTGCGGAGCCAACATAGAGACCTTCCGAGATCACGAGTTCTGGAGCAGCGTAGCAAGGACTTCCGCAGCTCGTCTGCATGAGATCGTCCGCGCGATGTTCGAAACGATTAGCAAATCCGAAATCGGTAATGATAACATTACGGTGGCGATCCAAAAGCAGGTTCTCTAGTTTTAGATCCCGGTGAACAATTTTCTTTTGATGGATGTACCAGACGCCCGAAACGAGTTGAGCAAAAAGCTTGCAAGCGTCTTTCTCTTTGAGGTAACGATGTGCCAGGATATGGTCAAATAATTCTCCGCCAGATGCATATTCTAAGATGATGCCGATGTATTTGTCAGTTTCGATGACATCGTACAGGCGTACGATATTTGGATGCTTGATAGTCTGCAAAATGCCCGATTAATCAGTCTAGCGATATCGCGATCAAAATGAGAGCTAAAAAAACGTACTCGAAGGACCTCGATTTCACGTTCTACCTTTGACATTCGGACCACTGTGTCAATGTTTCCACGTCGTATAAGCTTTACTGCGACTTCTTCGCCCCACTGGGAATGCAGCCCCAATTTGACTTTGCCAAACTCGCCCTCACCAAGAGTTTGCAAAAGCAGGTAAGGCCCGAATTTGGGAATCGTCCGTCGCGGATGGGCGGCTGCGTACGCAACTGCCGCAGGGTGGGAATAAACATCACGATAGCCCAGTGGTTCCTCGCGCTCTGGCTGAGACGTGGTGACCTGGTGCGAGGCGCGCTTGCGCGACACATGCGATCCATTGTGGGCCGCAGCTGAGTGTTGTGCTGTCGCAGAGTAGACCTGGGTCGACGCAGGGCGAGTTGCGTTGTTGTAACCTGAACCACCCGAACGCGATGGTTCTGATGGCCCTGCGGCAGAGTCGTCGGGTACCTGTAATCTCTTCGATGGGTCCGCCATACTCGCCCACAATCAGAGAGCCAGCTGAGGGAGCTGGTGGTGGTAGTCAGTGAAGTTGCAAGTGCAGCTGGGATACGTGATGGAGCGGTATGGTCGCACAATGTCAAAGAACGCCAATGTGCCACGCAACATCAGCAACGCCAAGACAAAACTCACAGGATATGGGAATTTGTGCGACTCGCTGCCCGTTGTTTGTGGTGGTGGGCGGGCAGACGGACGGAAAATGAGGGAGGAGGAAGAAAGGAAGAGACGCGTCGGAGAAGACGAGCAGCTGAGGCTGTTAGTGTTACAAAGCGCTGTTACTTATGCCTCTTATGGTTATCTTCACCAGTACAACTTGCTAGATTCCAGCGCCGCCGACGTCCCCGGAGACAGTGTTAAGCACTCGAATCAATGTCGTGCTTGGTGCTCAACGGTCTGTTGGTGGCACGATAGCAAGCCGGAAAGAAAAGAAATTTGCAGTTTGAAAGTGGACGAGAGTTTTGTACTTAGGCGAGGCCCGCGGGTGTTCTTTTGTTAGCTTAAGCTTCTCTGTTGCCATGTCGTACTAGCCTACTGTACATCCAATTTTTAGTAGTCCTTTTCTTGTTTTCGCCGCTCTGATTCCATCCGCAGTTCTCGGTTTTCTTCGAGGCAAAAAATACATACGAGCCCCTTCTCGGGCGCTCTCAGTCTCTATCCTATACCTCCTTTATTTTTCTCCCGTCTTTCCTCGCCTCCGAAAGTCTCATCCCCAACCCGCATCCTCGTCTTTCGGAAACCCACGACACAAATTCTCACCTACACAAGAAGTTCCGCTTTCGTGGCTCCCTGGACGTATTTTTTGAACTCCTCATCGGCAAGCGCAGGTTCCACCCAATCCTTCAGGAACTGATCCACCTGCTCCGGTGCCCGGCCTACAAAGCTCCGCGGGTCGAGCAGAGCATCCAGTTGGCCCTTGATCCCGTCAAAGTACGCGTCGCGCTTCACTCTCTCAATCAGATCATTCTCCCCACCCTCCTCTTTCACCACTCGTGCCGCCTGATGCGAAAGCACCTGCAACACGAAAAAAAAAGTGAAAATAGACTTGTTAGCGAAATGCAATGCACCAATGCACCCATAGTCCGCGGAGAACAACACGTCCGTGAAGTGCCCGATCATGATGATTCGAGAGATATCAGAACGCACAACTTCGATAGACGCACTCCGCGGGTGGGTCATCGTTGACGGGGGGTCAAAAAGAGCACTTACCCTGATTCTCTCGTGCGCCTCCTGGCGATCGCCACCATTCTTCACCACAGCCATGATGATATTTTCCGTAGCCATGAATGGAAGCTCTTGGCTGATCCGTCGCGCGATCACTTTCGGATACACCACAAGCCCCTCCGAGACGTTTTGTAACGTCAACAACACAGTGTCCGCCGTCAGGAACGACTCCGGCAGAGTAATCCGTCGGTTCGCACTACAACACACAAACAAATAAAGTAAAGACAAGAAGTAAGTTAACGCACATTTAGCCTCTCTCGACGACAAGGCCGTGATTTATTCAAACGATTTGATCTTACCTATCATCCAGGGTTCGTTCAAACCACTGCACACTAGAGGTCATCAACGCATTTTGATGCAGCACCATCAAATGTCTTGACAGAGAACAGATTCGTTCGCTGCGCATGGGGTTGCGCTTGTACGCCATCGCGGAGCTACCAATCTGATCAACCTCAAACGGTTCCTCGACTTCCTGTATGCGGACGTTTTGCGAAATGCCAAATGCAATCAACGTCATGCCATGTCATATGAGAAAGAAAATAAAGGCGGACGGCGGACCTTGAGGTTAGCCAACAAACGAATGTCAGTAGCTATTTTGTGCGCAGTGGCGCCGAATGATGCAAGAGGTGCGAGAACGTCAATATCGATTTTCCGAGAATACGTTTGCGATGTTACGGGATAGGCGTAGCTGAAGCCTGACAGCTCCGTGACGCGTTTGTCCAGAGCTTCAACCTGTTTCAAAAATATATTCAGAATTAATTCTGGATAATCAAGTCAATTCGTTTTATTGATTTTATCGATACCTTTGCGTGGTCCCCATCAAAGAGCGCGAGGAAGCTAGCTTGAGTACCCGTTGTGCCCTTGACACCTCTAAAGCCGAGGTCGTCTCTTGCTCGTTTAATATTCCTCAGATCCCAAAGTAATTCCTATAACATGACAAACGTCAATATATGCGCTCTTTTCTTCGTTGTTAAGAGAAATGAAGTAAACCTGAATCCAAAGTGTACACCTCTTCCCCACGGTCGTTAACTGTGCAGGCTGGAAATGTGTGAATCCAAGCGTAGGTAAATCCCGATACTGCCTTGCGAAATTCGAAAGACGGTCAATGACGACTACCAATTTGGCGAGAATGAGAGTAAGGGCTTCTCGCAGGAAGATGAGGTCTGCGTTACTTTTCGGGGGAAAAAATCATTTCACCGTCAGTAACTATTTCGGATGCGCATATAGTGAGGTCGGCTTTCTTACTCGGTAACATAGCAAGAAGTTGCTCCCAGACTACATGCTCTCCATTTAGTATTAATTATAACGATGAATAAAGTTGACGGACTGGATTATGCCTGCAGCAGCAGGTGCAACTGTCCCAAACGTATGCACATGTGCCATAACGTCATGTCTCCGCTTCTTCTCTTCTTTCGCGGCAACATCAAACTGTTCCTTGTCCAGATGCTATACAATATGTGTATATGTGTATAATCCGGACTTTTAGCATTTATACTTTGTGTTGTTGGTGAACAGATAGAAACGTACCAGATTCTGATTCATCTGCGCAATTGCCTCGTCAGATATGTTGAGTCCCAACTCCTTCTCGGCAATGGCAAGGTTCAGCCATAACGTCCGCCAAGTATGGAAGCGCATCTTCGATTCCAAATTCCATTATATTCATCTCTTCAGAAGGATACGAAGATGATGATGTCCTAGACGTACAGCAGGAGAGAACAAGTGAACCATTTCCTTGCTTGCATACCGACTACAAGTATATTGTCAGCGAAACGAAGCCCATAGAAACAGTTTTCCAGTTACCTGGTTAAAGGAGTTTGATAGCTATCAAAAGCTTCCATGTTATTTTAGGCTTGAAATGGGTGGAGGAAAGCAAGAGTTTAAGCAGCGCGAAGCATGCCAATAATCGTCATGAACAGATCAAAATTTTGGCGGGCGCATCCGATTCAGAGTCAAAAAAGGAATATCTTATCTTATCTGTCGATATTCCTTGACGGGTTCATCGAAGACGGGTATATTTGTGACCTGACCGTCAACACACCAGTACACGAAAACCCCTAGACTACTGCTAGTTCATAGGCAAAGATTGGAGCATCAACGTAATACGCCGTTGATGATGCTCAATCTGATCATTTCACGATACCCTTTCTGGATTCACCCAGGTTTGCACTTGATCGCCCACACTGTACATCATTGCACCTCCACGAGTTGCTATGATACTTGATGCGTTTCTGAATTGCACGTGTATTCTGGCAGGTTTTTCGGCATCTTTGTCACAATGGTTTAAGTCGTTGACGCCATTTTGTGCAGAGTGTCTTTGAACAAGCAGGTGGATCCTTAATACACTTTTGAGCACCATTGTACTGATGGTCTATGTGGAGTACTAGTATGTGATAATAGTCATATATGCGACTTTACGTATTTACTTTTGTTTGTTCTGCTGCATTTTGTCAAAGTTTGCATCCTGTCCAAGGATGCATTATAGCAGGTGATATTTAAAGCAGGTTTGATGCAGGACCGTGTCACAATCCACCGTTGTAACACCAACCTTCTGACTGTCCAGATACACAAGGTTCCAAAGCAACATGCCTCAAGGCCTTAAGGATCGTATGTCTTACTATACATTTGTGAATCCAGGCATTTTAGCTAATAGTATGGAATATATACTACCTGTACCAGCTGGGAATGACACATTCATGGACAAAATTAAATATAGAAAACAAGATCTCGTCAAAAGCAGCGAAGTATCGACTGCACTCAATGACTGTTCGTACTCTGTTCACTGTAACTATTATCTGCTTTACTCGTTTACTTGCTTTTCCATTTCAGACAATGAGAATTCGAACATAAAATTGGATGTTACAGTCTACAAGGTCCCAAGAAACCCTGGTGCTAATATACACCCTTTACTTCAGCGCTACACCTTTGTCGGTTTCAGTAAGCCCATGTTGCATATCACTCAATGTATTATATTAATGCGCGCCCTTATAGTTCACGAGTCTGGAAAGGATCCAACAACAGGTCAATATAAGCATTTTCTAAAGACGACTGAGGATCAGAAGACGCTGGAGGACGAGATCATTGAAGAACTCGAAAGTAAGGTGCCGTTCTGTACATTATAGCTTATCTTATAATGATCATTATTCGCTACAGAGGGAGCATAAGTGCATTCCAGCACTTGTTAACTACTAATGCTATGCATTGCAGTGTTTTTGAGAAAATTGCGTAGCTATGTCTTTGGTATTTTTGGTAACAAATAGGAACGTGCCAGATTCTCCTCCATCTGCACAATTGCTTCATCAGACATTGTGGGTTCTGACTACTTCTCGGAAATTGCAAGGTTAACCCATGACTTCCATCAAGTATAAAGCGCATCTTCAATGTCATTTTTCATTATTTCTTCCATAGAATATGAATGTAATTATATCCACAACAACAAGTAGGAGACACATATATTCCTTACCCTCATACAACTATATGCAGGAGTATTTCATAACAATGCTTAATTTCGGTTTTTCGGTTACCTAGCCAAGGTGTCTGGTTACTATCGGATACCTTCGTTGTATCTTGGGCCTGCAACAGGCAGAGGCGAGGAGGATTTATGCGGCCACCCGCTATTGAGTAGATCAAAGTTTTGCTGTGCACATCCTCTTCATTATTAAAATGGGAAATCTTAATCATATATGATTCCTTTTCCGGCTGAGAAATGTGATGACCAGGCTCCCCCTGCATCCATCATTGCACATGCACCAGTTGCGAAGGTGTTTGATGGTATGGAATGGAATGAAATATTACCCAGTATTGGTTACCAAATAGAAATACCAGGGCTTTTGGTTAAATAGACACAAGGAAATCTATACTGAAATCGAATTAGTAGCAGAAAGTTTTAAAATGCAACACAGGATTGTAGAGAGAATTTCAACAGATCCAGAGAAGTGACTCACATGATTTGATTGCTGATGATTTCTACTACCAAGCAATTCCTGTCTGGCAAAGTAACAAGTTTCCCTGACACAGGAGTTTAGTCATTGTGCTACTCTCTTGTATACATAAAGTATTAACAAACTGTAAAATAATTCTTTCTCCCTTTAGGCCAGAATGCCCCAGGAATACACCCCTTAGTCAACAGTTCAGTTTACTATACCTCTAATTGCAAGACATAGTCAGAGTATACAGTGTGCACATACAGATGCAGCTCAAATTAGCTCATTCAATGCTCCAGATCTCAACCCTAGTGCACTACTCACACTTGCTACACACTATCACAGTTCATCCATCTCCTCAATCCAGTTACCCACTCATGCTGACAATGCTCACACCCACACTCTTAGCCAATCAATCTCACAAACTGTCTCACCCCTAATTGTTGTAGATATAATGTATTTATATAATGTTTCAATATAATTATAAACTGTTATTTCAATAACAAACAGATATAAGGGAAAATAACTATTATTAAGATATTAAAATGATTTAAGAGCTTTATAAACAATTATAATATTTGCCATAATTAACAAGAGTGATTTAACCTTGTAATTTTAGAGATCCATTGTAATACATTTTATATATTGCCAAGGAGAATAACTCTTATTTATGTTTACAAATTGCACAAACCTTTCAGACTTTATAATGAATTGTAGTACTTTCTCAGAAACTGAGATCCGTTCCAAGTGTTTTTACTTTTTTTACTTTTTTCACTTATTTTATACCATTATAAGGTAGTACAAGAATTTAGACTTTTTCCCAATGTAGTACTAAGAATTAGCACACATGTGTGGTTTGTAGACTTTATTCATTATAAGTTATAGGTGCTACTTTCAATAGTGACATAGTGTATAAGAGCATACTGGCTGTGCCTGTGAGACAGGTTTAGAGTGATTAGTGAGTGGCAACAAGCAAGAAAAGATTGACACACTATAGTGGTGTGTAGCAAGTGTGAGTAGTGTATACAGATTAAGATGCAGAGTGTTAGACAAGCTGATTCAGACTGTAGACAAAATTGTGTCTGTGTGTGTACACTCTATTGTCTATCTATAGTGTCTATTGGAAGATACAGTAAACTGAGTCATTGATTGCAAGGTGTATCTCCAGGACGTTCTGGCTTGAAGGGAGAAGGTAATGTACAAGGTGTGGACAGACTTGGCTCAGAAGGGGTGAGTAGTAGCTACTGCTTCCATTATTTGAAATGGTGTTATAGACAGTACTAGGGAATGTAAAGGTATACAGTGTGAGTCTATTAAGATAGAATGGTGGGTGGGGAAGGAAAGTACACACAGGGTCAGAGAGAGGATTGTGCCTTGGGAGTGATCCAACATGAACATTGTTACAAGTGTGCTTGCATGTGCTTGTCAATTGTTACTTGCACTACAGAGCAGGAAGAAGAATGTGAATACATAGAATTATTGAAGAACTTGTTCAGCATTGGTCAACAATGCAGAAGTGCAAATGCAAATACAAAAAGGAAGGCAAGCATAAAACAAGAAGGACAACAGAGGAGAGGCAATGTAAGTGGCAGAGCAAGGAGTGGGAGGGATGGGAGGGATGAAAGACAAAAAGTTGGGAGGAGATGGATGAGCAACTATTGTGCAGGTTATTGTGAAGTAGACTGGCTGCTTATGCTTTATGTTGAAGGACAGTGTAGTCAGCTCAGTAGCATCATTACACAATCTGAGGCTCAGTGCAGGCATTGTAACAGCAGATTGGAGAGACAAGTACAGTAATGTTTATTGCCTATGTTGTAACAGGCAGAGTGCCTGCTGGTAGGATGCTTGCAAGCAGAGGACTTGACTAGAGAGAACAGAAGCAACAACATAGTGTTTAGGGCAGAGGGTTGGGGAGATAGTGAAGGTAGGAGTAAAGGAGTGACAGAGAAATGTGTCATTATATACTCTCAATCTTCAGCAGTTGATTACATAAGCAACTGTAATATGAGTTGTCAACTGATAGAACATTTCAATTATTGTATTTAGGTATAAAATAAAATTATTGATCTACTTTATAATATAGTAAAAAGTAATATGACAAGTATATAGCTTTCTAAACACACTTATGTAATTATTACAAGTAGACGAAATAACTTTTACAAATATTGTAAACTATTTGCATAGATAGTCTAAGTATAATATACATATTATATACTTATAGTATACTTTTATTAAGATAATAATGATACAACAAGTGCTCTTACACTATTATATACATTAATATACCTTTTGCATAAATTAGAAGGCAACAACAACAACAACATTATTATTATATTGTAAATATCACCCTTTCTTTAAAATTATAATAAAAATGTAATGCAAGCATAATACTTAGTACTATTATACAAAGTTAGTATAATACTTGTAATAGATTGCATTCATTCATAACACTTACTTAGCCTTTATATACATTGACATGTCTTATACAAACTTTACAATTGATTTGCAAGTCTTGTAATTACTTTACAATATACATACAATACTTATGTTACTTTACAAAGTCTAAAATATATTATAAGAAATGCGACTTTTTCCTGATGTATCACCCATGACTTCATCAAATTAACTCTGTTCCTCTGAGCACAATTTTGCAGGTTTGCAAACAGACCTGGTAGACAGGATATAAAACGTCAGGAATACCATAATCTAGTTGCAATATACCATTATTACACAAGTTCTTTGGATATCTAGAAGTACAAGGTTCTGAAGCAGTATGGCTCATACTGATAAAGATTGTATGTTGTGCTGTACAGTTGTAAATACTATTTACAGCATGATGGTTAATAATGTGGAACATTACTTACCTATATCAGCTCGAGAAAAGACATTCATGGACAAACTAGAAGAACAACAACTTATCAAGAGCAAGGAAGTAACAGATACACTCAATGAGTGTTTGTACATGGTCTACTATTACAATAGCATGACTCATTTACTTGCTTCACATACAGACAATGCTAAAGCAAATACAAAAATGGCTGTGTCAGTCTACCATGTCCCAGATAATGCCAATGTACACGGAAGACTTAGTCATTATACGTGGGTCGGCTTCAGTGAGCCCATATTGCCCATCACTTGATGCTTTTCGTTAATGCATGTCCTAATAGTCCATGAGCCTGGAGCGGACCCGCGCGAGGGTCGATTTCAAGAGCAGCATTTTAAGAGAACAGATCGTGTCCAGGAAGTATTAGAGGATATGATCATTGAGCAACTAAAGAGTGAGTTTCTATTCTGTACAGCATAGCCAACCTTACAATAATCATTTGTATAGAGGGAGAATAGGCGTATGTCAACACCTGCTGGTTTCTATCTGTCGCTGCCCTCTCAAGGTTATGTGTGTAGCTGCTACTGAAGCTCTCTATACAGCAAGCAATGAAAGATTATTTGTACCTTATGCGAATATAGTGCTAGTATTCTGCAAGCATACTGAGCAATCTGTTTACCCTTTAAGATCCTCCCTTTTCCTTGTTGAATTTAGGATAGAGCGCGACTCAGAGCAAATGCCTGAGATAAACACATAAGTTATCGAATAGACACGTTACAATCACAACCTTCTGATGTGCGAAGCGAGAGAGAAAGTACATAGTGCACTAACACCTCAAAGTTACACAATGAGATATGCAAGTAAGGCTGTACTCTCAAGTCATCGCTATATTTATTGGATACAATGCCTGACTGCGTAGAAGTGAATTTAACAGGTTGTCTTCGCACTTAGCTTCCACTTCTGTTTTCCATTACTATCGTAAGCTCCCCAGCCACTCATATCATCATTGAAACTACGCCACATCCAGCCAATGTTCTTCGGCTTGAAAAAGTCTCCACAGTGACTGTCGAGGAGCACCCAGTACGCTTGTTCAGAAGATACAGACGCGTCAATATCCTTGCTGTTGGGTGCAAAGAGATCTTTGTTGCTTGGCCAACCCGTCTAATAGATCCTTGAGTCAGGAGAGAAGACCGGATAGTCCAGGCGACTACTCACTTGTGTAACTAGTAAGGGTCTGCCTTTTGCTATGGACTCAAAGTAGTCGATACCATTCACAAAACTATCCCACGAGCTCTTGCTACCGCCGTTCTCGGCGTTCTGTGCAAAGTATGGGAAGTTATTAATCATAAAGAAGTCTACTTCGTCCGCAACCGAAGAGATGTCCCCCGCACTTTGCCAGCCGTATGGCATGTCAGATATTGAAACCGGAATGTCGAGTCCGGCGTTTTTCAGATCGGATTTCAGTTCAAGGATGTATTTCGCGAGATTCCCTGGTGAACCGGCATCATTGTCGTAGAGGGGCTAAGAAAGCATGCGTGAGTGGCTAGGTTCATCTAGACTCCCACATAAGCACTTACCTCGTCACGTACAGAGTGAGGATAGATTAAATTCTGTGAAACTGAGCAGAGGAAGCGTTATTTGCTTACGCACCGAGAGCGACAGCAATTACGAAGGTTGGCTTGGCTATAATTGCCTTTTATCTGCGTAAGGTAATAATTTAAGTCTGCAAATGTGGGATCACTTACCTGTGTCACTGCCTTCATTATAGGCACAGCTGTTCCACTAAACGTTTGGCCGTTGTCCATCAATGTCCAAATAAGAGGAATGATATAAATACCCGCCGTTTCTGCGGCACTTAAAATATCTATTATCAAGTATCAGGTGTGGCGTAGGCTTGCAAGTATTCCTGAAGACTCCACCGTCATAGAATGAAACATCTTTTCCAGTGTTACAGATGCCGAAAGTGATCACGTTTCGAGCACCTACCGACCGCATGGTCTGAAAATCTTTAATTGCCTGTGATTTCGAAGGTCAAGGCTACGCGTGCAAGTTTGTTCATCAGTCAGCGTCAATTCGAGAAGGATCCAACGACTCACATCAATGTCATACACGAAACCCTGGAAAGCATACATACTCTTGATAGTGTCAAGCCGATCAGAACTCGAGTTTCCGCGAGAGGTCATGTGTACATGTGAGCCCTTCCTGTGTACTCTGGTTGCTCCTGCCCATGTCGAGAGGTCAATGACAAAGAAAAATAGAACACACAATATTCGGTGCAGCATATTTACAAAAATGAGAGGGTCGTGTTGGGCACCGTCGACAACATTGTGAATTTATATTACAGATCGTATTTGCAAGTACCAGTATCTCCATTCTCGACCGCAGGCAAACGACATTTGGTATCTCAATCTACCTGGTGAGAAAGCAATATCTGTCTCCTTTCATCGCCGGCCTCAAGGGCACTTTCGGGAATCCACTCTAGTTTGCGCTCTAAAAATAGCTCACACCAGATGAGTTTGGGTCATTTCATAGAGTTATAGCAGTAAACAGTGGCGTTGGCGAGATATCGTCCTTGCGCCTGATGACCCCGAGAGAATGCAGCAATAACTCAAGTATCGACGTGGCGATTGCAAAAATCCAGCACGGGCACTAGAGTACGAGTGGAAACTCCCGAGAGCCTGTGGGAAACTAGTTTCCCACAGGTCATTTTGCTGGGGCTCTGGAGGCGTGGTAAACCTCGCGTGGACAACACTTAGTCAGCATATTAGTAATATCATTATAATGTTCCAAAAAGGAAATTTTAAAGAATTTTGTGTTGTTTACCTCTATTGAGCCGAAAATTTAGGTACAATATTAATTTCAGACATTGGTTATACTGCTGAGAGCAATTTTATTGTGTTTTATAGTCTACCAGTGTTGAAACATACATAATAAATAGATATATCTAAGAGAAATAAAAAGAAAGAGGCAACTAATTACATTGACCAGGCTTTATTATTGTTCAAAATTTGTAAATTGTCTGAAGAGGTACTGGAAATATTGTCCATATCTATCACTTGTACCTCTCCAGTTTTATCAGAGTGTACTCCTTCAAATGAAGGAGTATCTGAAAGAATATCAAGCAAAATAGGAGATGTTAACCTAATAAAATGACAGACATAGAGTATATACACTCTCAAACTATCTATTTTCCTTGCTTTTCGTCAGGTTGAGGCATTTTTTCTTAATTTATCTACTGACATAATATTATGTATGACTAATCCATTGAGTTTTCCACAGGCCAATTTCCGGCAACCCTTGTGGTAGTGAGGTTTACCTCGTGGGAAACCTCTGTGGTAATCCTCACTGTGGGAAACTAGCGAGTTTCCACTCGTACTCTAACGGGCACTCTCCAGCCTTATCCTTCCGGAATTTGGACTCAAGATGTGTGGCATTGACAGCAACTGAAACAGAACAGATTTCCGTAGAGACTAGGCAACCAATTACCACAGCAGAGCCGACGGAATCCACGAACAGTTTCAAATGGCATAACGGACAAAAGTACAGATCTGAGATCATGCTCGAACAGCTGAGGTTCTCTTGATTTAGCAATCCTCAAAAGGGGCCTGCGTCAGCGGACCTAGAGCAGAAGCCTTCGATGGGGAAGTGAACCAGTCAAAACGTTACTTTGCACCAGTTGCACACGTCAAGTTGGATCGGCATTTACCGGATCATGTCAACACCGTGACAGGTTTTGGCTGGTCAACCTGCTTTCCTGTCTTCCCTATGTCTGCGAACGATGTTGTCTCAGGAGTCAGTTATGAACCCGTCAAGCATCTGTCCGTATTCATTGCCTTCCGGACGTGCGCGGAATGGTGGCACGATCTTCTTTAGCAGAGACCACCTGGATTGGCTATTCTCCTGCTCACGATCTACCCCCCCTCGGCCAAACTAGTCATTCTCTAGCACCCAAACGGCTTCACCATTTCGCATAAAAGAGGTAGGTTCCGGATCTCCTCGTGATAGCTCTTTTCAAACCTTGTGCTAAGTGACAGCTCAACCTTGCCAAGCACACTATATTTCATACTTGTGAAGTCTGTCTACTCGAGAGTTACATATAAAGACGAGACTACTAGAGCGCTACAACCATATCAGCTGCTTCGGGTCTGCCTAAGTCGCCATGGTACATACTTCGCTGGTTTATCTTGCTGCTGAAGCCCTAGGGCAAGCGTTGGCCGTTCCTCCTGTTGGGCATCATCTTATGCCTACATCACGCATGGACAAAATCAAGAACATGTATGCATTTGAAGGCTTCGTATACGCCCTTGATGTATTGTTTTCATTATAATTTCCTTTGGATTTTTGCCTACTGAGAGGTTTAGAATTGCCCTTCGCAACAAGACATGATATCCGACTTCCAGCGGATGAAGTCAAAAGGCGCCAGGAACGTCATCACCTTTGATCTTTGTGGAGACGGAAAAGACACGAACTTTTACGGAGGTATTTTCGATCTGCTATATTTTTGAGACTTTTTAATAGCACAATTGATATTTTATCCTATTACAGATGTGATTAGCGCGGCTGGTACAGCTGGTCTTAATGCTATGCCACTTGTTTGGACTTTGCTCGATGACGGGCAAAATTTTGATGACGATGTTGTTCCGAGAATTGATGCGGTCACACAAGTAAGTAACTTCTTGTCTACAAATTTACTGTCTCCCCAACGCTAAAATTCGCTAGGCTGTAATCAATAATCCGGATCCGGTGCTTGCTGTTGCAATGGGTATGCTAATTTTAATTCACTAAAATCTTCTTTCACTGATGAGAGGTCTAGGTGATGAGGTCTGCTCTTTTCGTTTACTATTTCTTGGATCGTCCTTAAACGCCGTTTTCTCCAGCCTCTTTATGACGACGACTTCGGAAGTCCAGACAACCTCGCCAAGTACATTAAACGGATGAAAAAAGCCTTCTCTAGTGCTGGACTATCGGATATTCCAATCTCAATTTCTGACATGGCATATGGCTGGCAAAATCCCTCAGGCGACATCTCGAATCTTGTTGACACTGTCGACTTCTTTATGATTAATGACTTCCCATACTTTGCCTGGGACGCGGAGGATGGTGGAAGTGACACGTCATGGAACGACTTTATCGGTGATATAAACTATTTTGAGGGAATCGCCAACGGTAAACCGCTCCTTGTCACCCAGGTCAGTATGCTTTGTAAACCAAGGATCAATTTTTGACTATTGACTGCGTTATGCCATTTAAGACTGGCTGGCCAGAGAATAGGAACGAATTTGCGCCGAACAGCCCGAAAGTTGTCGTTAGCCTTGAAGCAGAGAAGGGTTACTGGAATCTTCTCGATAGTCACTGCGAGGACTTTTTCAAGGATAAGAACATCGGCTGGATGTGGCGCAGCTGGGATGACAGCATTGATGGTTGGGGCGTCACTAAGGATGGCAAAGACAAATGGAACTTCAATGCACGCAAGACGTGCTAAATGTTGCGTGTATAAGCTGAAGTCTTCGCTTGACAGATTTCGGTGTAAATGATCCTGTCGTTCTACTAGTAATTGTCACTTGTTATTCAGTGTTTTAACTTTTGTGTCATTTTGGGGTTTGCGCTGAGCCAGATGTTATATTATCGCATTATGCAGCTCCATAATATCATTACTACAAGCAATTGGCCTTCCAATGATAGAGCAATATTACTTCTACTATTAAAGTTTATCTTCTGAAATTGAACGGTGCTGATGACTGGTGCGCTTATACGTAATATACATCACCAAATCGAACACGAAAATGTATTGGAATTTACTGCTAAGACATATATTTTTTACATATTGTGGATCCTTATATTCGCTTATAAAGTCTACATGTAAATATATTGCCTTGTCAGACTCTGCACGTTTTGGTGATGTAGAGTTTATGTGTGAATGGGGGATGCAGTCACATGGTCACATCTTTGAACTTGCATTCCAATTTCCAGCTTCCGTTCCGCCTCTCTTAAGTCTTCTCAAGCAATTTCGATATGCTCGGCGGCCCGCCAGTACGGAAGATGTACAGAAGTACAGAGATGCGCAAAAAGGATGCAGATACATTTGCGCAGAAAGGGATCATGTGGTGCTAGATTCGGTAAGGCTATAAGTCCTTGCAACATACACTGAACGAGATTATCTTAAAATCAAAGCAGACAGCCAGCGATTTGACTATGGGCCACTTTTCAGCAGATCTTCTGTGCTTACTTGGAGTAGTGGCGGCTTCATCGGTCACCTTTGCTTTGCCTCAGCTCAGCTCGCCTCTTGGTCCTGTGATCAACCTTGGCTATGCTGCGTTCGCAGGAAATTCTACATCGCTGACAGGCCAAGCCAACAGTCCAGTGACTTTCTTTGGTGGAATACCCTATGCACAGCCGCCTCTAGGAGATTTGCGTTTCCGCGCTCCAGCTCCTCTGGATGAAAATGTTGTGAATAATACAAACGTTCCTATCACAGACGCTCGCAATTGGGGTCCACCATGTATCCAGCAGCCAGCGCAAGTCGGAATTGGAGAAGAAGGTACCATTGGCACCTATTCTTTCTCGAACTTCTACTGAACTGTCGCACAATGTCACATAGACTGCTTGACGCTAAATGTCTGGAAACCTAGCGACGCGAAAGAGGGCGATAAACTCCCTGTCATCGTATACATCCACGTATGATATTTATTCTCCTTTGTAGATGTTGCTTCATATTGACAATTCGCTTTAGGGAGGAGGATTCTTCGCTGGAGTAAGGAAGCTCTGTTATGTTCACGCATGCGGTGACTTACGAAACAGCTCAGGCACCTCAAGGCTTCCCATTGTACGATTTGGTCAACCAGTCAAACCCAAAGATCGTCGCGGTCTCCGTTGCTTATCGTCTCAATTTGTTTGGATTTCTCTCAGGGAGCTCGGTGCAAGCAGACGGCGACCTGAACGCGGGGCTTCTCGACCAGCGGGCGGCCCTTGAATGGGTCAAACGTCACATTGCAAGCTTCGGTGGTGATCCGGATCAGGTGACCATCGACGGTGAAAGCGCTGGTGGTGCAAGTATTGTAATGCAAATCGTCGCTTATGGGGGTTGGTCGTCCGAATGAATCGAAGCACTATTCTTCTATCCTCTGACTGACCAATTTCTGTGCATAGGTTCCAAACCAGTCCCGTTTAAGCGTGGCATTGCACAGTCAATTGGCTATGGGCCGACCCCTACCGCAGATGAAGCCGAAGCAGCATTTAGTAAGCCATGCTCCAAATTTAACGAGCTAATCCTTATACTGCAATTTAGAAACTGTTACAGAGGTGGTTGGCTGTCCCAACTCCGGGCCGCAGGCCATGCCTTGCCTTCGGAATGCTTCACTTGGTGAGTACCCTACACAAAAAATGAATGCTTGTTCGTGCCGCTGAATTGCATCCTTGAATGAAGGTTCTCTTGTCGCCGCCACGAACGCGGTTGCACTAGGCGGGCTTGCGCCGGTTGTTGACGGCTCAAGTGGCATTCTTCCGCAACTGCCGAATAGACTCATTACGTCCGGTGATTTCAGTTTGGTCGACTTCATGGGAGGACACTGTTCGACGGAAGGACGCACATTCGTGGGTGGACCTCCTCAGGACTTCAACACAGATGCGGATATCGCACGACTGGTGTTTGAACGCTGGGGTACTCATGTCGTGAGCCTCTCAACGGAAATATTTTTGCTAAGTTTGTGGACGAGCTAACTATCGTAAACTCAAGACAAATGAGACAATTCAGAAGGCGCTCGCACTTTACCCTGCTCCTGGAACGCCTGGCAGTCCGTTCGTTACAGAGTATGACCGTGCGTGGACCATGGCTCAGGAGATTATTTTTGGCTGCATGTATGTCCACTTCCGCGATAAAGTGCACTTGGATGTTTCATATAATACTGTCTTGTATAGGGACTGGTTCCTCGCGGACAGACTTCGACAGAAGGGCTCGAGCAATGTCTTTACATTCAGGTACGGATGTTCCTGCGTCTACCCCACGTATAACAGTTTCGCTCACTATCATCTAACAGGTTCAATTCACCGAATCCGGTTTTGCTTGCGGAGACTCCATGGGAGGGTGTGATGCACACTTCTGATCTGTTTTATTTGTTTGACGGTATGTCGATTTTCCAACCAGAGCGTGCATTTACTGATGAAGAACTCGTGTCTATAGGTACAACGTAGGTGTATGCACCCTTCTGAGCTTTATTATTTTTATACATTGCTCTGTTTTCCAGTTCTGCTCCAAATGCGGGATTTACGTTCACCCCTTTCAACAGTGTGAGAAGTGTCACATTCAAGTAAATCTAATAAATTTGATCTGACAATCACCACCTTATTAGACTGAGGCTGCCCTCTCGAGAGAATCGATTGCATTCTGGACGTCATTTGTTTCATCTGGGAATCCATCAACTTCTCGGGAAGCGATATCACCCGAATGGATGCCTTTCTCGACCGGAGGGCGGATGGTGCTCAGTCAGCCAATGAATTTGAGCTCGATGAGTGCGTCAATGATGGAGGTCACGCCGCCGGATGAGGTTGAACGGTGCAAGTTCTGGATGTCAGTGAATGAGACAGATCAAACCGAGATTTGAGAATTCCAAAATGAGAAATATACGTTGGATTGCTGGATAGCATCTCAAAAATCAACGTGCCCTTCGTCAATTCTATCTTTTTATCTTTGAGGAAATGAAATCGACAAACATTTCATTAACATTGTTGCATACGGATGGCGAAAATCTGAAATCTGCGTAGTACGTAATAAATAGGTCTATCATGTTTAGACGACAAGCGCGACCAAACAAGAGATGAGTAACGCGTGTGGGATGTCGATCAACTTGCCAAGTCACCAACTTGAACAGACCTGCTGAGTAACAACTGGACTTGAAGAAGCACTATGCGATGCTGTCTTTCTCTTCGAATGAATTGATGATATATCAGCCGGGCCGTGGCTGGAAGAGATGCAGAAGAGTGAAAATACACAAGGGTAGGGAGAGTTAGTCCTCCAGATGTCAATCATGGGGCGTCGGAATCTAACAGGCAATCCAAGGCACTCAAGCTTATAAGGATCTCATGAAGTACGGAGGACAGGTTGGGCCAACGTATCTGAAAATGAGCCCCTTTACCTTGGGTCTACTGAGTCTCCTCACGCTGACACTTGTCTCGTCTGCTGCTTCTGCTCTACCTCAACTCAGTTCGCCTCTAGGTCCTGTGGTCAACCTTGGATATGCTGCGTTTGTGGGAAATTCCACGTCTCCGACAGGTCGGGTTAACAGTCCAGTAACTTTCTTTGGCGGGATACCCTATGCGCAGCCTCCAGTTGAAAACCTGCGCTTCCGAGGCCCTGCTCCTCTAGATGAAAGTATCGTAAACGGCGGAAGTGTTCCAATTACAGATGCACGTAATTGGGGTTTTCCTTGCATTCAGCAACCAGCGCAAGTCGGAATAGGTGAAGAAGGTATATTTCATAAGGTAGTCTGCCAAAAATCTGTTGAATCATTATCATACCCATCTAGACTGCCTAACGATCAATGTTTGGAAACCAAGTGACGCAAAAGAGGGCGATAAGCTGCCTGTAATTGTATACATTCATGTATGCCAAAGCAAGCTGTCCGACCGATGCCTATACTGACGAGTTATATCAGGGAGGTGGATTCTATTACGGCGTGAGCACGGACTCGACAGCAGCTGCTGACACACAGACTTAACGTAAATACAGACACCGCAAGGCTTCCCATTGTATGATTGGGTAAACCAATCGAACCCGAAGATCGTTGGAGTATCCTTTGGTTATCGTCTCAATCTATTCGGGTTTCTAGCGGGAAGCTCAGTGCAAGCAGATGGCGACTTGAATGCAGGGCTTCTCGACCAGCGAGCTGCTCTAGAATGGATTCAGCGACACATTGCAAGCTTTGGCGGTGATCCAGACCATGTGACAATTGATGGCGAGAGTGCAGGGGGTGGAAGTGTTTTAATGCATATTGCCGCTTATGGGGGTCAGTTTCCTATCAACTCACATATCCCTTTCTCTCAGAGACAGGTCACTTTATTAGGTTCTAAACCTCTGCCTTTCAAGCGCGGGATAGGACAATCGATTGGCTATAACTCCGCACCCACAGCAGATGAAGCTGAAGCACGTTTTAGTAAGGCTCTCCTTTGTATCGGTTGCTTCCTTACACATTGTTTCTAGAAACCGTCACGGGGGTTGTTGGATGTCCAGATTCCGGTCCGCGAGCTATGACTTGTCTTCGGAAGGCTTCAATCGGTTAGAAGATCATGCTGTCCATGCGCTGATTGGTAACCCTGACTCGTCTTGTCCTGTAGGCGCTCTCGTAGCCGCCGTAAACGCTGTTCCGCCAACTTCCATTGTACCGGTCGTCGACGGTCCCGATGGGATCCTTCCGGAGTTGCCTAGTGCATTAATTTCGTCCGGAAAATTCAGAACGGTTGATTTCCTGGGTGGACACTGTACAACCGAAGGACGCACTATCTTGGAAGTACCTCCTCAGGATATTACCACAGATGCAGATATTATACGGTATTTATTCCAGGAATGGGCCCCTCATGTAGTAAGCTAACTCATTCAGTAAATCCTCGTTTTGACAACAAAACGCTGATAATAGTGAAATCGAAGACAAATGAGACAATCGAGAAAGCTTTTTCTCTGTATCCGGCACCCGGAACTCCTAGCAGTCCGTATGCTACGCAGTATGACCGTGCATGGACTATGGCTCAAGAACTTCACCTTGGCTGTGCGTACGTGTCTTTCCATGTATAGTCTATGGGATTTCGGTCAATTTCGTACATCGGTTAGAGATTGGTTCTTGGCGGACAACCTACAGCGCAAAGGCGCAAAGAATGTCTTCACATATCGGTATGATCCAGTTCTCATCGGTTCAAACTAAGCAGTTAGTTATTGATCTTTCATTCTCGTCCTCCAGATTCGACTCTCCAAACCCCGTCTTGCTCGCGCAAACGCCGTGGCAAGGTGTCATGCATACATCTGATCTTTTCTATTTGTTCTCTGGTGCGTTGGCTTCCTAAGGTGTTAGACCTGTATTGATCAGGAATTTCCACCGATAGGTACAACGTAAGTCCATGTCTCCCTCCACGTTTTATGTGTTTGCAAACCACTTGATGCACCAGCTCGGCGCCAAATGCAGGATTCATTTTCACTGCGTTCAACAGCGTGGGTATTGTCACCTTGCGTTTAGCCAAATGAGCTGACAAGCGCTGCCATATTAGACCGAGGCTGTCCTCTCAAGGGAATCAATCGCATTCTGGACGTCATTCGTATCCTCTGGTAATCCGTCGGCTTCTCGAGAAGCGATATCACCTGAATGGATGCCGTTCTCGACCGGAGGACGAATGGTTCTTAGTCAGCCAACGAATTCGAGTTTGATGATGAGTGCTTCGATGATGGAGGTCACACCACCCGATGAGATTGAACGATGCAAGTTCTGGATGTCAGTAAATGTGACGGCTCAGACGAGAATCTGAAGGTAAGCGAGTTTGTTCAAATGAAAGAAGGAATCGTTATCACTGAGAAGGCATCGTCCATTCCAGAAGGTGACCGACTGACCATTCGCATTCCGTGTCTTCGCATAGTCGGAATGTAGTGTCACAATGCAATGTGTGCGGTCAGCTGCACATTTCAAAATATATTTAACAGAACCATCTTTTTACACGAGTGCCCACTTGTCCGTTTGCCCGTTCGTGTGTTTGGTTCAGTACTAGTCGAAGTCGGAGCCGCACTTTCTCCTAATCATTTTTAGCTATACTTTTGTGTGACGGCCCCAGCTTGTTCCCAACTATGTTTCTCAGCGAAAGTTCGCTGTGCCTTCGTTTCCAGTGCATGCAATCCGTCTCCGTTTTATGTCCCGACTCCTCCTGTTACAGTAATTTATGATCGCTATCTACACATTTCTACGCTGGAATTCAAAACGTGATATTGGCAAGGGTAGCCTATTTCTGCCAGCACCAATTGCTTTACTACTATTTATTACGGTGATCTGTGGCCAAGACGTGTTAATATAATTGACTTAGAATAATCTGACGTCGTTCTATAGGCACAGATGTAGGCGTTGGAAGAACTTGTGACTAGCTGTGTGACATGCTCGAACAGCATGTGGGTGCTTAGAACTTAAGAACCAACTTCCACCACTTCTGAAGTCAGCGATATGTTGTTTTCCGGCCCGCAACACGGACATTCCTCAGACATGAAATATACCGGACGGGAGGGAGAATTATTCCCCCAGCTGGCACTGAGTAGAGGTTGGCCAATTATACTATAACTTGAAGCTCCAGCAGTGCATGTGAGTTGAGGTGAAGACCCAGAATGGATCATTTTACAGCCCGTCTGTTGCTCTCGTTCGTATTAACATTGGGTTTTTCTACTGCTCATGCTCTGCCTCAGCTCAGCTCGCCTCTTGGGCCTGTAGTCAATCTTGGCTATGCTGCTTTCGTGGGCAATTCCACGAGTCCAATTGGTCAGACCAATGGACCTGTAACTTTCTTTGGTGGAATACCTTATGCACAACCACCGCTCGGAGATCTACGTTTCAGAGCCCCTGCGTCACTGGATGAAAGAGTTGTGAATGGCGGGCATGTTTCTATCACGGATGCCCGTAACTGGGGTTCGCCATGCATGCAGCAGCCAGGTCAGGTGGGCATTGGACAAGAAGGTATCCAATCGTTTCGTATTTTCCAAATAGTCTATTGATGTAAATTTCGATTAAGATTGTCTTTTGCTCAACATTTGGAAACCGACTGACACGAAGGAGGGCGATAAACTGCCTGTCATTGTCTACATTCACGTCCGTTATTCGAGGAATATCTCGTACTTGTGCTTTATGCTAACAGATCAATGTAGGGGGGAGGATTCACCTACGGTGTGAGTTAAATCAGAGACTATAACCAAAACTTAGCGTATAACGTATTCCAGACTCCTCAAGGCTTTCCGCTGTATGATTGGGTCAATCAGTCCAATCCTAAGATCGTCGGGGTGTCCATTGCCTATCGCCTAAATCTACTCGGTTTTCTTGCAGGAAGCTCGGTACGAGCAGACGGAGACGAGAACGTGGGACTTCTTGACCAGCGAGCCGCCCTTGAATGGATACAGCGTCATATCGCAAGCTTTGGAGGCGACCCGGACGAGGTCACAATCGACGGTCAGAGCGCCGGCGCTGCAAGCGTCGTAATGCAAACGGTTGCTTATGGTGGTCGGTCTTTCTATTTAATACGGATAGTCTTCATTTTCACTAACCATTTTCCCGAAGGCTCAAAGCCGATTCCATTCAAGCGCGCAATTGCACAATCAGTCGGTTACGGTCCCTTACTCACAGCAGACGAAGCTGAAGCTGCATTTAGTAAGCAGCATGCGATATGGACGACATTCTACTTACGCTTCCATTGCAGAAGTCGTCACAGAGGTCGTTGAATGTCCCGATTCCGGCCCGCACGCAATGTCTTGCCTTCGAAATGCTTCCATTGGTCAGCTGCCTACTTCACGCGTGTATTCAGTGTTCAGGCCTGGTGACACTAACTGGTTTACAATAATAGGTGCCATTGTGGCTGCTATCAATGCGGCTCCGGGAAGAGGCATTTTACCCGCTGTCGGCGGACCTGGCAGTATTCTCCCGGACTTGCCAAGCGCACTCATAAGGTCAGGGAACTTTAATACAGTTGATTTCATAGGTGGACATGCCACAAACGATGGACGCTGGTTCTTGTCTGGAACTCCCCAAGACTATAATACAGATGCGGACGTAATACAGTTTGTGTTCAGCCGTTGGGGTACACACATGGTGAGGCATCCCATCCAACATATTGATGAGAGTATAACAACAGAAATTGTTCAAAGACGAATGAGACGATACGGGAATCACTTGCTCTCTATCCAGCTCCCGGAACGCCTGGCAGTCCGTACGACACGCAATATGATCGTGCGGCAACGATATTCCAGGAGATCGTTTATACTTGCATGTACATCTATACATCTTATTCTTTCAATCTTTCTCGGATGTCTCATGTAAAACCCATTTCTCAGGGATTGGCTGCTTGCGGATCGCCTTCAACAGAATGGTGCAAATAACGTTTTCGCATATAGGTAACAATTCTGTCTCTGTCCGTCTCTTTCGCTATCGTGCTACTTCTGACCGTAGCCGCTGTCACTTGATAGGTTCAACTCTCCGAACCCTGTTCTGCTCGCAGCATCTCCGTGGGAGGGTGTGATGCACACCTCGGATCTCTTCTACTTGTTTTCCGGTACATGAGACGTCACAAGCAATGCACGTTGAATGATCATGCTAATTGTATACGTAGGAACAACGTACGTTCAGATGCTCAGCCATACCAGGTCTTAATTAGATTGTTATTCCATTTTATCAGATCGGCAGCGAACGCAGGGTTCACATTTACTCCATTCAACAGTGTGAGTATGATGCTCATTTCGTACCATTAGCGAATTGAAGCAGCAAATTCTGCTTATTCAGACCGAGGCTACCCTCTCAAGGGAATCAACTGCATTCTGGACGTCATTTGTATCCTCTGGGAATCCATCGACGTCTCGGGAGGACGTCTCACCTGAGTGGATGCCGTTCTCGACGGGAAAACGAATGGTTCTCAACCAACAGATAAATTCGAGCTCTATAACGAGTGCTTCAATGATGGAAGTAACTCCACCGGATGAGATTGACCGATGCGGATTCTGGATGTCGAAGAATGTGTCGGATCAGACGAGAGTCTGACAGTCTATTGGTAGAGGATGGGCTAGACCTCACGCGTGTGATAGTTCAGAAAGACTCATCAAGGAATATAGTCATTTTAGCTCCCTCCTATTTGTTTTACTTTGATCATAGAAGAAGGTCGGGTTAAAAGAGGAGTGTATGTGCATTGAGAGGATCCTGGATTTCTGGTTTCAAATTTTTATACATCAATCTATGTAATGACACACTGTGACCGTGACGTGATATGCATAACTTGTGTTGTCTTATGGCAAGGTACTAGGTGACTTCAATTAATTGGCAGGAGCACTTGCAGAACAGTAGGAAGATTTTGGGGTGGCTAGAAAGTGTGGGAGATTTGTGCATGATTAGCACATACATTCGCACGAGTCCTACCTCAATCTGTACTTTGTACAGATTATAATCTAACAAAATCATAATCTTGTCAAATTTTGCAGCCAAACACTCTCTAAAATCAGGAAAATATTTATCATGTGTATTTTTGAATCTCAACCCTAAGAGTGCACCCTAGTGTAAAGCTTGGTCTTGTACAGTCTTACTAAGCAAAATTGTTCCCCTTAGTACTACACCCTCTGCACTTGACATAGCTGGTCCAGCAATGCACACCTGCAACAGTGCAAGTGGAGCTGTACAAGCACCTCTGTCTTCCTCACTTTCTGCTCACCTGTCGATTGAAGAAGACTCGTGTTGAACAGCGAATTTGGCATCGGATGACAGTACTGAGGAAGACTTACAATACGTAGCATCTGAAGTACATGCTATACGACGGCTTGACTACACAGAGGGAAGTGTAAGGAGGTACATAACAGCTACATGGCAAGGTGCGGCACGATCCTGTCCTATATGCTCTGTGCCTGGCCCTAGTGTCCCGAGCTTTGAGTTGACCGAGTAGCATTTCGACATTTGCCAAGGTATCGAAGGAGAAAAGGATGCGGACCGGCTGTGCCTCGTGCATTTTCATGGTTGGAGAGTCTGGCGTTTGTGACGGTTTGTCCCGAGGGAGGTAGGGCGAAAGTGAAGATGAAGTAGCTGTATAATTCAAGATGACATGCTATTCACCAACGAACCCAGCTCCAAAATCGAGGGTAATTATATGCTATTCTCAAGCCTGTACATTGACAAGCGGGGTAGGATTTCAGAACTGGTCTCATCCGCGATATTCTCTTTTATCGTCATCGCCAGTCGCAGCCGTTTTCATTTCGGTGCCCTCTTCCTCTTTATTGCCTTAAATCAGACAATCGTCCGTAGTGTCCATCTGCGTTGGACAGGTCCTGCTGTAATAGTCTGTCACTTTTCTCAAGCCCGATTGTTCTCGTCTTAGTCTGTGTACTTCCGCTTTCTACCAGCATCTTTCCTCTTGCATTCTCTGTAACAGCAGCATCCAGTACATGGTATGGAAACAGCACCTCCACCCCTTTGGTTCCTGATGGTCGGTACATTGCAAAAGAGAAAGGACAAATAAAACGGTGTGTTCCAAGATATCAAACCTAAACTTGTGCTCCGATACATATTTCTTCTTGGAAACTCTCTTTCCAAAGTCCAACGAAGCTTTTTACAGCTCTAAAAATCATGAGTCAGAAATCAGAAACGACAATGCCATGCGAAACAAATCAGAGTACCTGCATCCTCCTCGTCGTACTCCTTTGCTAAAGCAAAGTCTGGCGGGACAAGTATTTTCAACTCTAAAGCATTTATTTGTCTATTTCTCGATACGAGAGTGATTGGCTTTACAAACTGCGTCCCTTGCTGCTTACAACAGTGCTTTTCCTGACTTGCCCGTACAAAGGTCAATTCTTTTTTATGTCACCGGGTGGTTGACTTACATTTGTTGACAAAATAGTAGTGTATGGTACAAGTGCAATGCCAGTACGGTGCACAAATAGACAAGATTGACCTGCAAATCACACAAAGAAGTCCTTAGCTAAAGAGAGACAAAAAGTGTTTGAAATACAGAATGCTTGCAATACTAGAGGTAAATAAAAGGAATGGGAGCACTGGTCAAAATTATACATCCGGATTGAAACACTCATGCCAATGCAGGCCATGTGCAACGTCCTTGAAATTCAACTTCGTGGAAAATTCGCAACTGAAGACAGCTGTGTCCTGTGACCGCCAGAGCGTTGGGCGAATGTCGGGTGGAAGCCATAACAGTAACTCGTCTTGAGGACCTAACACCCATCCGTTGTCCGCAAGGGTCCAAGTTACGAAGCCATCGTCGACGTCTTGTATGTCGGAGCATGGGGCGACCACATTGCCTTGCAGACTCCTGGTCGTTAAAGAATCGTCTTCTTTGCCTGGTACAGTCCAAATACGTATTGTTGCGTCATAAGAGCAGGAGACAATACGGGGACTGTCTGGTGAAAAGGCAACGCAAGAAACGGGACTGGTATGGCCTTTGTACGGCTCAGAAACGACATTTCCATTACTTGCATCCCATACAATAACCGTCCAATCGGCCGACCCAGAGACGAGGTATTCCCCGTTAGGTGAAAACGCAACGGACGTGACTGTGTTGCTGTGCCCTTTCAGTGGTCCAAAAATGATCTTTCCGCTATGCACATCACGAATAATGATATCGTCGCCAGAACTGCGCGAGGCAATGCATCTCCCATTAGGAGAGAATGCAAGTGGCGCGTAGGAGGGGATTCCGCTATCTTGAGGCGCCTTGAAGGGACCGGAAACACATTCCCCACTTTCGGCATTCCAAACGACGACGTCGTTGTCAACAGACGCCGATGCGATAAGCGTGCCATCTGGCGAGAAAACGACAGTGCCGATCGCTGTCTTGTGCACTTGATCAGATTGGGTAACTATGCCTCCGTTTTCAGCATTCCAGATGATGACGGTTCTGTCATAAGAGCCAGAGACGATACGTGTGCCATTAGGAGAGAAGGCGACTGAAATGACACCGTCCGAGTGCCCTTTGAGTGGCTTGAACGACATCTCACGGCTGTTCACGTCCCAGACAATGACACTCTCATCGCGAGAACCAGAGACAATTCGTTTACTATCAGGCGAAAATGCCACAGAATAAACAAAGTTTTCATGCCCTTCAAATGGTGCGGAGATAGCTTCCCCAGTGCTAGCATCCCAGAGTCTCACTGTCTTATCCTGAGAGCCTGACACTATCTGAGTGCCATCCGGAGAGAAGGCGACAGACCTGACCGCATCTGTGTGCCTGGCAGAAGAGTCCGGAACAATTTTGCCAATCGACGCGTCCCAGAGTCTGACAGTCTTGTCATCGGATCCTGAGACGATGCGTGACCCATCAGACGAGAACGCCACAGAGATGACAGTGTCTGCGTGGCCAGTGAAAGGACCAGAGACGATGTCACCGCTCTCCACGTCCCAGACAATGATTGTATCATCTGCAGATCCCGACACAACACGCTTTCCATCAGACGAAACTGCAACAGAAAGAACAATGTTTGAATGCCAAAATGGGCCAGTGATGACATTCCTGTTCTCCACGTCCCAGACTCTCACTGTGTAATCACGCGAGCCAGAGACAATGCGCCGATCCTCGGGTGAGATTGCCACAGAGTAGACTTCGTAAGTATGTCCTACGAAAGGATTGCCAATGGCCTGCCCTGTCATCGCGTCCCAGACTCGGATTGTCTTGTCATTGGAGCCCGAAACGATTCGCTTCCCATCAGAGGAGAAGACAACAGACCATACAGCAGCCGTATGTCCTTCAAGAACATGTACAGTGGTCCTGCTCTTGACGTTCCACACTCTTATTGTCTTGTCCTCAGAGGCTGAAGCAACGAGCGTTCCGTCAGCTGAGAATGCGACAGCATGTACACCCTTAGTATGCCCTGTAAACGATCCTGAGACCACCACCCTCGACTCAATGTCCCAGATCGTGACTGTCCTGCCCCATGACCCAGAGGCGATGCGCTGGCCGTCCGGTGAGAATGCAACAGACATGACGTCGGCTCCATTCTCTTCAAAAAGTTCGCATAGCATCTCACCGCTCTCAACATCCCAGATTCTGGCTGTTCCGTCACCAGACCCCGACGCGACACATTTCCCATCGGGCGAGAATGCGACGGACCAAACAGCAGCCAAATGCCCTTCCAGCACCTTCAACCACAGCGGCGGTCGTTTCGTCCCTATTCGATCGGCCACAACCATCCGAGATGTCTGTTTCGAGTAGTGGGCAGCGACTTCCGATTCATCCTTCATGAGTGGGAGCATAGAGACGTAGATATGCGATGTGCTTTCGGTCATGGGAATGGCGAATGCTGAGGTGAGTCCACTAGCGTCCTTCAGGAATGAAAATACGTCCGAATCATGCTCCTAAGCAAGAATCAGCGCCTGTATACAACTGAACTCGATGTTGCTCACCTCGGACCACGCAGCAGCGTCCATGAGCGCCCGGCTTGCGATACTACGCACCAGGCCCAGTATGCCAATCATCTCAAACCAATACAGCAGCCGCTTGCGTGCGAATGATATTAACTCATCCGACAGATCGCGTGAGTGCAATGCATCAGCAAGGTGCTTTGCCCAGTACATGCACGCATATTGCAGATGCTGCGGTAACGTCTCGTTGATACAGTCCTCGATCCTAGTGACATTTTTGTTGCATACGAAAGACGATTCGAGATCACACATATTAAAATGAAGCATATCCTTCATGACAATAAAGCAACGCATGGCAATGGCTGATTGCTGAGAGGCTTTGTTAATGAACCATGGGTCGGATGGACATTGGGAAGGGTACTTATGCTCGCGGCACGGTTGGGAGCAGCGCGTGGATAACAGGTAGTCGGCGAATGACGTGTGAAGTACATGAACGGGTTCGCTTCGCCTGAATACAAGTACACTGCCAAGCTTCGACAGAATTTCACGCGATGGTTCGGTGGACGACAAACCGAGGATTGCATCGATCATCGTATCTGAAAGTGGAACACGGCTGAGTAGGACAAGGCCTAAGACTTGCACAAAGTGAGCTATAGAAGACGAATCATCCACTCCAATAACTCCAGAGTTCCTCAGCACCGAATCATATAATTGGTCAAGACCCTTTAGTCGATGAGATGCATTGACGAGCTCTTCAAGCTTTCGAAACCTGCGGGGACTCTCTAAGACAAGCTTGATGGCAGTCGATGCCCATATAAATAATCCTTCCGAGGCATCAGCTAGATTTTTTATCTTTGTATCCCATTGCCAGCTCTCCGGGATGGATATATCTGCGTCTGCTATGACATTTCGCATCTCCTGGTCAACATAGTGTAGAACATCGCGCCTGCTCTCTGCCGATCCTGAATCCAACGTGAGCTCATAAACCAAGTTCGGGCGGTTCGACAATGCTTTATTAATATCATCCTCTGGCCGGCTCGTAATGAGAAATCGGAAATTGGAAGGTAGCTTTCCGAACTCCTTTTGCAGGAGCGACATCAATTTTCGTCGAGCGCTTGGCGTACCACATTCATCCAACGCGTCGAGGATGATGACGACCGGACCCTGCATCTCACCTCTCGCTGCTTTGAGCGGTTCCAATAAAAGCCTGTTGAACTGCACTTCCGCAACAGCCTCGTTGATTTGATTGCTCTTCTGAATAGCAGCCTCGACCTGCCTTGCAATAGACGAGTCAAATAAGGCAAGTTGGAATGCAATCGTCCGGAAAATAGAAGTAAGCTGATCCTCAGCACCATCCACCCGGTTGAAAAACAGGAATGCACCAAGGCACGACATCTCACGACAGTATTCCGCAATAGTCGTCGCAATAGTGCTCTTCCCAGACCCCGCGACGCCGCGCAACCATAGAATGTTTTGTTCCGTCTCCGATAAAAGCCAGTCCATAATTTTGTTCAGTACCTCTATCCGTGTATCTTCAAGGCATCGTCCACGCTTAAATGCATTCATGTCATCCGGACAGAGTATATCCTTGAAATCTAATTAAAGCCCTCTCAATCCGGTGGGCTCAGTAGTATACTGTTCCACCTACGCATATCATCAACTTTATCCGAGATCCTCGCGGAAACAAATGCGGTCTGTAGAACGATGCCTTGTTCGAGCGACCTCTTAAGATCACTGAAACGCCCAATAAACTCGTCGACTTTTGGCCGGCTTACCTGGAGCATACGTTCTGATGTGGAAGTTAGTTACTCGCTAGATTCGGCATCACATGTTCAACATACGAGGGAAGTTGCGATCAGTATAGTGTAGGACGAATCTGCAGCACTCAATTGTCTGCTGTAAGAGACTTTCGATTGTCCGCTTCATTCTCTCGATTTTGTTAGGAAGTGATTCGACATCGATGACAAAATCGTAAGTATCCGCCATGAAATGGACCAAATTGACGAGTTTCTTATCCGTCTCAATCTGGTGGGACACAGCCTAGAAATACATGAGTCTAGGTGTTCAGACTGTATCAAGCTGGGTCAAAGATACCATGTACAATGCTGACGCCAGCTGCCAAGTTGTATTCACATACGGATGAACCTATTGCTCATGAGCAAACTCTACCGAAGCCATAACACCTCAAGGACGTACTGTAGATAACTTATCGATGACGTTGACGAGTACTCCTGTCTTTTCAACTAGCACCAATAGAGACTTCCCCAGATCCCTTCCTTCATTCAGTGTCGACAGAGATTGGTTCACCGAACTATGAGGCTCAGTAGAGTGGTCCAGTCCATGTGCCGCCTCGACTGCAGTATTGACATCAGGGCTAAGATCCACAGATGTGATGGTTGCATCCAGTAGATGAACGACCACAGTTGGCTTTCCATAATTCCTCCCTGCGGGTGAGTCGAGGGGAAGATGAGCTGGGATTAGCGTATGGTAAGCAATTTATAGACGAAAAAGGAAAAGTAAGAAGACACACCCGGCCCATTGACACATCTTCTAGATAATAAGCTGAGTTCAATGTTGATTGAACCGATGCAAGTATCCTCTCGAAATGGAATTGATGATTTATGCAGCACCTTGATTGAAACGATCGTGGACGCATCTACTGTTGGGCTGCCTCGCTGATATGAATTCCAGATGTTGAATCAGAGCGAATGGTGTACGTACAATAACAAAGTCTCGTTCCAAATGTGTGATTTATCCTTAATCGTGCGCGTCTTCCGAAGAAAACTGCTAAGACCTACTTCGACGCAGAGGTTTGGAATTTTGCTGTGCAATGAACGATCCCACTGCAGACCGTCGACACGGATCACTAGGAAGTATATCGATGTTAAATTCTTAGTTGTAGAATTGAGTTGATAGGCACACCCTTTAAGTTGAGTGTTGTATTCATGGTGGAAGTGGGTTATGAAGCATGCCTGTGCGTGGGACCCTTGACCCGGCGTCCGCCTGATATACATCCCATTGAAGCATGATAGACGACCACTGCCATGGTGTCTAATTTGCTTGAGCGTCGCTCCTGTGTGAATAGTGAATTCTATAAAGAAAGTGTTTGTGACATTTCCGGGTCACGCGTAGCATCACACATGCTCAATCAGTGATGTCAATTCCTACCGGTATACAGTCATTAACCGTTCCTTTGAACACTACCGTTCCTTTGAACACCCCCCCTTAACTCTACAACAACTTACTGTAAAATCTCAAAAAAATAGAATTACTTAGAGCTATACTTTTACTTTAAGTATATGAATTTTGAAGCAAAAACATTCAGTATTTATTTGTACAGAAAATCAAAACCAGTAGAAATGAGTGAATTCAAATTATATGACTGTAAACAACTTTTTTTTGAGATGCTTCTGCTCAATAATTCAAATTTAAAACTACATATTTGTATTCTTCTGTATCATAGCTACAATTTTTATCTTTTATTATGGATATTGAGTGTGTATTTAAATTAATATTGAACAATTTGTTGAGACTACTCTAAAAGTGTGACAGCTGAAAAATGATCAGTGTGAATGACCTCATTACTCAAAACACTAGGTTAATGACACATTAGTAAAGCTATAGTCTGTTATGCTTGCTAAATACACATTTTTTCCTCTTGTTTCCTCATTCTCTAACAACTCTACATTCATGACAAAGTCTGCTAAATCTAAATTGCTACAAAAAAGAGAAGGAAAAGAAAAAAAAGAAAAAAATATTGTTGCTGCTATGGAAATGTATCAGGCCAAGCTAGAACAGTTACTAGACAAGTGTCAAGGGCTCTGAAAAATCACTGACATGTTTGAAGGAGTAACAATAGGTACATTAAGAAATAGGGTGGCTGGAAAAAAGTCTATTTTAGAGTTTAGATAGAATGTCAAAGATCATAACCTCAGATGAGACCAGGGAAAAGCTCAGGCAGAGGAAGGAGTTGAAGGATAGAGAGGAGAAGGAGGCCCATGCATGAAAGGAGGAGGCTAAAAGGAAGAAGGATGTCAATAATACAATTGAAAGTGAATGGAAACAAATCAAGACACACTATAACAAAGACCTTGCCAAATGACAAGATAAATGCACCATGTAGAAGGAAGAGGGGCTTCCAAAGGTTTACTAGAGCCCTAGACTATCTAGACTAACAAAGAAACAAGTCCAGGAGTGTCTACTACAAGAGAGAGGCATAGACAGTACTACATACAAAGAAGTAGTGTCTGGATGAGGTGAATACAACCCAGACCTGTGTAAGTGTGATGAACAAGGCTGGAAGTGTACCTAGAGCTGTGGATAAAGTTATAGAACAATTTTATATACAAAATAAAGTAAGAGGAGTGTGCTGAGAGTAAACATAGGAGCACAAGTTGAGAGCATAGGGGTGAGGAGGATGAATGCGTGCCAGCGTGACACTGTGTCACAGGGTGTTCAAAGGAGCGGTTTTTGTGACAAATCCTCTCATTTTTACTACATTCATTTTAATTTTTCTACAAATCCTAATGGCCTGAAAAAATTCAGGCATGCTCTTATTACTATTTAATTCCTAATTACAGCTTAATTTTTCCTAATTTTTTGTGTAGAGTAAAATACAATCAAATTTAAAGTTGGTGTTCAAAGGAACAGTTAATGACTGTACCACCAGGAATGATGGGGGGATGACAGGAATAATGAGGAAGGGAATCAATTTTTTTGTAATAAACACATGTAATATTGAAATTAGCTGTACAGTGAAACCTGTCATTAAGCATGACCCACTGTGGACAGGTGAGGCCATGCTTAATAAGAGGTTATGCTTGTTGACAGTAGCTTAAGTAAAGTAATAAAATTTCCTTATTTGTAGTACATAACTCAATAATACATTGTCTACTTAAAAAACAACAAAATATCAGTCTGTTCAAGAGAACTATTTATTTTCTTGCATAGATTTCTTGTAAGCTTTGGAAAAAGTGCTCTAGCCTCAGTAAACTCAGCACCAATCTCACTCTGAAAGAGTGTATTAAGCTTTAAAAGCAATTGGACAGCCTCCACATAGCTTTTGATGCTTCAACTTCAGTGCTTTGTCATGGGCAGGATCCTTTGGTAGAGATGTATCATCAACTGTACTTGTTTGTGGATGAATACCAGTGGAAGCATGGATATCTGGAAGCAGAGCTGAGAGATTGACAGGGGAAGCTTCTCTAGAATAAGTGAAAACAATTTCACTAGCATCCTTGAGTGTTCCATCTAGGTTCTGTACACATCCAAGTGCCTCAGACATGATGAAAAATGAATTTTAATAGTGGTTTTCATTACATTATACATTTATTTTACAAAATGGAGGTGGCCTGTACAAAAAGTGGCTCTCTCCAGGTCATGATCTGCACTGTCACATGACCAAAATTTCCTTTAATTAAGCATATTCTCAATCTCACACCTTAATGCTTAATGCTTAATGCCCTTTATGCTTAATATCCTCTATTTTCCTGCCTACCAACTTGGTGGATCAAATTTTTCATACTTATTGAGAGGAAATGCTAAACTACAAGTATGCTTATTAACAGGTTTTACTGTACTTTCTAAGTTTATTAAGCTGGAAACTACTACATTAGGGAATTTAGCTGAGTTCTATACAGAATTCTACCATGTTCATTCCCATTTCCTGTCTGCCCACCATCATTCCTGGTAGGAATAGGAATAGGAAACAGGAATGGTATACTGTCATTCCTGCTAGTACAACAACACTGTACTCAATTACTGTCAGCAACAGTGTAG